TTTTAATTAACGTTTTCTCATATTGTTTCGTTGTTACAAACAAATAAACAATTTAAGGTTGATTGTTAAATTGTTTCGCTCTCACAATTTATTTATACATTTGATTATCAATCTCTAGTCTTGCTGGGTAATTGATTATGATTATAAATCATTTCAAGCTTAACTAGAATTCAACTTTTGTTTATCAAGTGAAAACAAAGAGATGAGGAAAGGAAAAGAAAAGGTTAACAAAAGGAAGAAAGGTAAAAGTCATAGAAAAGATTATTTATTCAAGCGAAAATGAAGATGAAGATGAGGAAGATAAAGGTAGAGAGAGAGAGAGAGAGAGAGATCAGGTTGATAATAATTAGCGTGAAAGATTTAACAACGAATCTTTTTACTAACGAATTCGCTATTTACTAAAGGATGAGAAATGTTTACCTTCGAGAGACCATGATGATGATATGGATACAAGAGATTGTCAGGTTTTCTTTTTGGGTGTTGATGTTTTATCTTCAATGATTTGGAATTGATCAAATTACTGAGAATATTTCAGAGAGAGAGAGAGAGAGAAAAGTTTAAAGTAAACATTGATACAGAATCAAATTACTCTATTGTTACGTTTTAATGTTGACAATTTGTTTTAATTGTTGGAATTGAAGTAGATTGTAGATGATGATGAAAATGAGGGAGGATTAAGTTTTTTTCTTCTAAATGGAGGCGGAGGTGATGAGGGAGCATTAATGTAAGATGAATGATCTGAGAGAAATGTCGATAATTGTAATTGTGATAATGATGATGAAGGAATTAAAATTGAGTGTACTTGAGACTCCCTAGTTAGTTTTGGAATCATCTTAAGTAGCTTAACCAATCCATCAAATGAACAAGATGAAGGCCAAATTGTGGCTTCAAATAGTGTCTTGAATAACTCACACACATAGAGAGAGAGACAGACAGAGAGAGAGAGAGAAAGGAAAAGATGATAAGGATGATTAAACATGTAAACATGATAATATAAGAATCCGCATCATCTTATTTACAGTTTCATCTTCATCATCATCTACCTTAGATTTAAATTCAACTTGAATGCGAATAAAAAAACACACACTTAAAGGTGTGTTCTGCTTATGCATACCAATCATCTTCAGTCTTCCTCATCTTTTTTCATCATCATCTTCAGATCCCTTTTTGGTTCTCATCAATTCTACCTGAGAAGATGGAGATGATGATGAGTAGAAAGATGAGAAAAAGCTAAGAAACTGTAAAGGCGAGAATATTTGAATCTTGGCTTAAGAAAAATAAACAAAAAAAAGGATCAGAATCAAAGTGATGCAGGAAAAAAAAGAGATGAGGATGGAGAAATTTTCATCGTTTATTTATTCATAAACAAAAGGTGGAAAAATAATATCAGATTGAGAATGATTAACTTTGATGATCCAATGGTTTGCATGGGGAAAAGTTCATCAGCCTGAATCGTTTTCTTTTTCTTCATCACATTTAATTGTAATTAGGAAAAAACTTTGATGCTTATCAATATATTAACACGATTAAGGATTAGGTGGGTTAGATTAACGTGACAATCGTTGCTACAATTATCTGGAAAGTTTATATACACAAGATTAAGATGAATAAAGTTGATTATTTATATTGGATTAGATTAAACAATTTACTAAACTGTCAAGTTATTAACTTGCTAAATCTACTGGATTTTAATTTCTTATATTAGGTTAACAATTAACATGTTCACTGAAATATGATTCCAAGTGATACTTGACTTGTTTTCGCGTTATCAATGATTAAGGAAAAGGTGATTGTTGTGGACAATTATTTCCGTCGTTTTTATCACCTTTACCTGTATTTATCTTTCCTTTAGCATCATTATCATTATCATCCTCATCATCTCTTTACTTATCTTCCATCTTCTTCATCTCTCTCATGCTAAAAAAACATCATCATCACCCAACATTAACAAGGAAAAGTTGATTACAAACTCATCCGAATCCTTGAAACCATATAATTTGTTTTCACTTAGTTAATTTGTCAACCTTTTAAATTGAAAATTAGTTGAAACTTTTCTGATTCGTGATTAAATCAAATTAACTTCAATTGTTTAATCTTTAGTTAATTACCTTTCCTTTGGTAACGATAATTAATTAGACAACAATTTAAACATTAATGACAATGGTCAAGTTTTTTTTGGTTGTCACTCATTATTATTAATTGTCATGATTATTTGATAATCATGGTTTTGATTGTGATGATATTTAATTGTTGTTGTTGTAACTATTAATCTGATTATTTTACCTTTGTTATTTGATTGCCGTTTGTCATGTTTACAATTGCGATTGAAATTGTTTATTTACCTTAATCACAATTGAAAATAATTGATCATCAACAGGTTATACTTTTATTTTGCTTAATTGTATTTAGACAAAGTTAAGAGGCTTTTGTATTTACTAAATCAACTTTAATTGTTACTTGTTGCTGGTCAACAATCAATCAATTAAATCAACATTTTACTAATACTAATTTGAAATGAAAATACATTTTCAACTTGTCATCTTAATTTCAATTGATTAATTGTTGACAATTTTTAAATTATAGTATGAAAATGTTTCAATTAAATGATAATCATGATAATTTCAAGGTTAACTAACATGATAATTAGTTGATTGCTAAATAGATTCATGTACTTATATAATAATTTAACAGGAAACGAGCAGATTTATTACTTCCTCTGTTGATTTAGATTCTGACAAATTTTAATTTACTCATTTACTAGGAACTAATTAAAAGTACTCAGAGTAATTAGTAAGCTTAATTGTGCTCAAGTAACGTAATTGAATTTTAAGGTTTTTAATTGTCACTCCAAAGCTGATAACATAATTAAACTGTTGAGGACAAGGAAAATTAAGATGATCAATTTGATTTATTACAATCAGTTGATTATCATTGAGATACAATCAAGTGAAATGTTGATTATTTCAAATGATTAGTTGATGATTAGGATTTACAAAGAAACTTTTTTTTCTCATCTTAATGAGTTACTTTGAGATTATCGTGTGAAAGTCCAATAAATCCCTATGGAGATTAACCTTAATCCGGTTTAACAATTGTAATTAACATAACCACAATCGGGCAATCAAATGAAAGACACAGACAAAGTCACTAAATTGTAGTAACAATTAATCATCTTCAATGATTTAAAACTAATCCACTTTACTTTATATACCGAACCAACCAGATTAACATGATCTCAATGAGGATTTTAGGACAATTAAGATAATTAACAATTTGACAATTGATTGATTGTCAATGTTTTCAAAAAATCGTAATCCTAATTACATAAATTACTCTGGGATTTTAATTTCTTATAATCAAAGTTATCCAATTTTCAATCACAATCAATATAAACTTTATATACAAATTGTCATCAAACTTAATTATTACTTGATTAACATGAACAGTTTTCAATGGTCATCACAAAAGTTAATCAAAAAGCTAATTGTTTTAACGTAATTAAATCCAATGATAATAATTTTCAATGATTCTGTTGACAGATTGATTTATCAACGTAAATGAAATAAAAAAAAACAAAGTGAGAAACTAATTTGTGGCTTAATTGAAAGCAATTTAAATTCAATCAACAATTTCCCAACCTTAATAATCATCATTATAATGATAATCATTATCTTTACGATTATGATTAGTACTTTGGTTATTACAATTATCAAGATAATCGTGATTTAGCATTTTAACTGTTTAACAAGAACAACAATTTACTAAATTGTTAACCTAATCATTAACCAAGATCCGTTATCCCAACTATAATTATGAGGTTCAACCATTGATTGTATTTATTTTTCAATTATCTTTAACAAGATATAATTAACAATTATCATAATAACAACACAGGTAAACAAAGTGACTCTCATTTAATTTAGTACGAAACTTTAATCACAATTAGATCAATAATAGAAATGATAATAGAAAAGAAAAACTAATTACACCGATAAATTTAATTTTCTCATTGATTAGTTTTCTCATTACCATCTCATTGATTTACAGTTTTTCAATCAGTTGATTAAACAATCAGTTGATTGTGAGAATTGTTTCTATTTTCTTAATGATTAATCAGTCTTACAATCAAGTGATAATTAAAGTTTTTAAATGGTCAATGAGCTGTGAAAATTGTTACCTGATCTGACAATCGTGAGTTAAATAAATCATTGATTAGATATTTAATAATGATAATAATTTGGTTGATATTAAATTACAAGTAAATTAAAAAAAAAAACAAGTTAATCGTGAAAATCAAGGGACTCAATTTTTGCAATTTACTAATTGTGTGTGTGTGAGTGTGTGTATAGCTTTTGATTTGCAATCAGTCAACGCCAATGAATCAAATTGAAAATTAACTTAAATAGTTAAATTGAGCTGGAGTTAATTGCTGAGATAATTGAGTGAAAAAAAGTCATTTAAACAGCAATCAACAGAATCATGATTATCATCACAATCTAATGATGATTCTGATGGTTTTATAATCAATTTTGTGACTTTTAATTTGATTTAATCATTGGAATTGTTTTTCTTGTTGGTCAACACAATTGAATTTAAAGTTTTCATGATTAAAATCACTTGATTTTCAGGTTTTAAATTGTTCATTTTTTACCTTAACCATTACACAACTTTTTACTCAATTAATATTAACAATTATTGACAATTGAATTTAATAGTTAAATCAATTGATTGCTTGTATTCAATAATAATAATGTTGATTTGTTGTTGTAAATACTAAACATGAAAAGGTGATTGGAATCACAATCTACCCACTGATTTTGGATTTTAATTTAGTTACAAGTTTTAAAATTCATTTAAATTGTTGCCGATCTCTAGTTAATTGTGAGTTCATTCATACATCTCTATATACTTTTACCATCCATTAGTTAATCAAATATTAAATCACTAATTTAAACTGGTTTTAAGTGAAATGATGTTACGATGTTTTAATCTAATCAATTTTTTTACTTTTTCATATTTCATTTCAAGTGAATTAATTTAATTGCATTTTGATAAATTGTAGTTAATATCAATATATCAGTTGTAAACAATATTAGTTGACAGCAATTTGAGTGATTAACAATGTTTCAATTTAGTGACAATCAATTAATTGTTTAGGTTTGGTGTTTTTGGTGTTTTTGTTTTTAAACATTCATTTTAATTATTATTATTATTTCAATAATCATTTTTTGTTTGTTAATTACAAATTGCTTAGGTGATTATTTATATAATCAGGGGGTAAAGGAACAGGTTAATTATACAATTAGTTGTTGCGTTAATTGCTTTTTAAATGGATTCAATTAAATTGTAAATGATAATAAAAAAAAACAATGTATGAAAATATATTTATAAATTTAAATTTTATGAAAACAAAGTCTAATCTCTAACCTGGTTTATTTGTTTGATTAAATTGTTGTTAACTGATTTAATCAAGAGATCAATAATTAAGGTTGAAAGTAGATTTACTAATTCGTGCCATTTAAGCTCTGGTATTTTGATAATTAAGATAATTATCAAAATTAAAATCACAATCTTGGACTTATCAGTTTTGATAATTGTTGTTGTCCATCAGATTAATAGTCCAGTTAATTATAATCATCATTATTGATGATAATCATGATGATGATGATGATGAATTTGTTTCAATTCATTTTGATTGTCATGTTTAAATTAATTCGTTGATTGATTTTTTTTTATGAATGATTAACACTCTCTGATCATTGAGACTTAAAGATCCTTCAGTAAATCTTAATCAGAGTGACAATTACTAATACAATAAATTGTCGTTGTTGTTGTCATTTGTAGAGTGATGGTTAACTATTGGTGTCGATTTTCACAACAATTAAAGATCATTTCGTAAGGCACATGGAGGATTTTCACATGATCCAAAAAGAGATCGACACTTGTTGATCTGTTCAATGACAATTGCTAATCTCGATTTGAGTACTTTTCCATTTCGATCCGGAAGAAACGGTAAATTGTAACTTTTTGGAGTGTATCCTGTTTCATGTAGACTATTACGAAGAAGTTGAACAATATTACCGTCACGATGAAGTTTCTCCAGAGCATCGACTGTTGATCGACGAAAAACACAAGTTCCATTTAAAATTTTTCGATGATAAGGTTCATATTTTTTAAGAAGCCGATAACCATGAAGAAGACCTGATTCATTATCGAGAAATAATAATAAACCAGTTGATTTAACTTTGACCAGATTATGAGCTGGAGAATCCATCATTTCAGGATTCCATTGACGATTAACCATATTGTTCACCACTCGATCAAGATTACCAGTTAAATAGTCGAAAATAACCAAATCCGACCATTGGACTAAATCAGTTAAATATGTTAAATTCACTGAACTCTCATTAAAACCTTTCGTCAAATTATCACCAAGTAAATCGTTGTTAGTTGGATGTAAAGTTGGTTCAGATGATCGACGTAAACTCATCGGTATATGGGCCGGAATAAGATCAGGTATCCACCGGGTAACAACAACAGGCTTATCGGTTGACCATTTAGCTGAATTGAGTGAAGATTTCACTTGATTCCAAACTGGATTTAAACCAACTCTTTGTCCACCGTTGGTTGACAACGATGACGATGATGATGATGATTTACGAAGGTTTGACAACGCTGCTGGTGGTAAGTTCTTAATTCCCAAAAGCCGAGCCAAGTGGAAACTGAAAATATCTCCTTGAATTTGGTCATTATTTTGACGATGTCGGACACAGGATAAGATACCATCTTCAAACATAACTAATCTATTAGATTGACTGCCACAGCCTTCAGATAATTTGACGGCTGATTTTGAATTAACCAGCGAAAGCCAATTACGATCATCATCACTAGTGAAACCTTTTGGAACACGAGATTCAAGTTCACTTGACCAATAGATTCCATCTTCAATTACTCCTTTTGGAATAAATTGTCTATCACCCAGTTCATCATTGGAACTATTTGTAATACTATTATTCAATAATCCATTTTCTAACTTGTTATCAGCAAGTAATAAGAGATAGAGAAAAGGATAAGCTATCATATTGTTCCAAAAAGGAACAAAATCAATCACATGAGAATAGAATAAATCAGAAAAAAAAGAATAGAATAGAATTTACAATAAACTTAGAACAGAACACAAGTAGAGAATTTTTCAACTGAGGATTTAAACGAATAGTAAAAAAAGAGATAGGTTGTAATTCTGTTGATGAGGAAGATAAAAAAAGATGAAGATAGAAATAAATTATAGAGAAAACAACTCACATCAAGTTCATGTTCATTTTATTTTCTCTCTCAAAGACTAAACTTAAATTCAATTGATGAAACTAACCACTTTAAGAACCACCAGAGGCGCGACGTTCGAATTAGCGCCATCTGGTTGTGAAGAAAATCCCCTTGTCTTTTGAACTTTTTTTCTTATTGATCAAATTTTTAATTGTTCCAACAATTAATTTCAACTGAATTTTTATTTGATTCTTGTTATATTGCTCATCAATTGTCATTATGGAAACACAGTTGAAAATATTAACTGTGAGATCATTCATTGTGAAAGTATTAATAATTTTATTGTGAAAATTAATACCCTTGAGATTGAGATTAACAATTAACTTATTATTAGTTAACATTGTTGTTGACAATTAAGATTATATTTGAATAAAAATGAGTAAATATTTTACTCGTGAATAAATTTGTTCAATTTGGATTAGCTAATTGTTTGATTAGTGTTTTAGTTGGAATGATCTTTTTTAATTAGCTAACTAATTAATCTTAAAAAAAATTACCATCCTAAAAGTCAAACCTTACCGATGATTTAAATTGTTATTATTACACAATGAGGATAATTCAATTTACTAGGAAACAATTACTTTGATGGTTAAATTGTTACAATGAATACAACTCAATCAAAGTTGAATGATTACTCTGTAGCCGTTAATTAAAATATAACTATCAACCTTTCATCAGGATGTTCAAGTTAATTGGAAAGAAAAAAATTTCTTCCATTACGATTTAGAATTAGATTGATTTCCTATGCTAACCTTTGACCTGAAAATAATTATCTTCTTAATTAATGCTGGTTAACCAACAGATTAATCAAATTAAATGTTGATTTCCTAGGGAATTGATTACGATAAAATCTAATTGACCGGATACATTGAGATTCTTTGATTGAATTTGATGAACATTTTTCTAGGTTCGGTTATAACTTTTTTCGTGGCCTCACCTTCAAATTTATCGTAAACAAATTGACTCCAAAATAGACAAGATATTAATTTCTATTGATAATCATTGTAACACACAATTAACTATATAATTTTAATGATTGTTCAACAATAATATTCTCACAATTAACTGATATTTATCATTTTAACGCCTAATTTTCATATTATTAGTTATCTAAGTTTCCAAACTTTTATTTACTATTTACTTGTTAACTTGGTTCATTTGATTTCTTTTTCCTCTCAAATCAGAATTAAGATTTTAATTACAATTTACACACCTTAACATAGTTAATTCTGTTTCACTAATTGCTTGTTTTCTGCTTGATTCTCTATTGATTATCCAACAAAGTTTTACCTTTAAGCTAAATCCATATAAAATGGATTAGTAATTTATTATTATTATTTGTTTCTAGAGTAACTTATTGGATTAACTTACGAATTGATTTGAAACATGTTAATTGTTATACTTAAGGTGTGTCATGATGATTATAACAAATATAAAACTGACCTTGTTTATAATTAAATTTACCAATTAGCTAATTAGATTGTATGAAAAATTAACATAATTCATAATGATCAGTAAAATTGACTCGATCAATTCAAGTTGTTCAAATTCAATCAATGGAAAAGTTAATTGTTAGACTAATATTCCAACTTTTTTACAATCGAAATTAAGTTTTCAGTATTAATATTAACTAATCATTGTGATCGAAATTGATGTCGAACTTTTTTCTTGTCCAGAAGCGAAAATGTTGAACATGATTTTCCATGAATTTCCTGTGGGAATTGTCAGAATAAATTTGAAATTCTATTGGAAATTGATGGTTGTTCTCACTTTAATCACTAATGAAAAATCGGATTAAAATAGTTAATCATTATTGATGATTCTCAGTCAAAAAGAGCCTTTGTTTTTGCTTTGAAGGCAACAAAGATCATAAATCAACTGTAAATGACCAAAATCTAATCCAATGGTGAGTCTAATTGTAAGTCCAGTCAAAAGTGAAATGACCTTTAAATTTATAATCGATTTTAACAATTAGTCGATTTAACCAACAACATACATAAATAGTTAGTTGCCAAAGAGAAAACAAAACAATTGTCTATCTGATAGAATTAATTTCAATCACAATCAGGAAAGAAAATCAGGAAAAACAATTAAGAAGCGTAAATAATTGATTCTCTTGGGAAGAAAGAAAAACTCTTATAATTTAATTCTCTTTAAATTGTGATCAATAACAATCTTAATTGAATATTGAAGATAATTGCAATAATCTTATCAAAATTAATCTTGAGCTTAATTGTTTAATTATTACAATTTTGAGAAGATTGGAAAATCAATAAAATCGGTAAAAAGTAAAATAATTGAAAAACGCGCTTTTAATTTGAACGCATTTCGATTGGCTGAATTTGCTTTTCAATGTTTACATTTGTCTGGAAAAAATTAATTGTTGTGTTAATTTGGAGTTTAAATGTTTATCTAATTGTGATATTATTTGAGCTTGTTGATTAATTAATTTGTGTGAAAATTATTCTCTAACATGTGAACAATCAATCGATTTTAACTGTTTACACCTTTTCATTTCTTTTTCTTTTTCTCTTTCATTTTCATTGATGTAAAAAAAGTTGTTTATTATTATTATTAACCGAATGGGTGAAACAAAAACTACTAATCACAATAAAAATGGTGATAAATTTTTGTCTCAGGTTGTGGTTCGTCATTTACCACCAACCATGACGGCGGAACAATTTAAGAATGAAATATCTCCTGTTCCTGATCATAATTATTTTCATCTTTTAAAAGCAGATTTAAGCCTTGGTCAATGGGCTTTTACCCGAGCCTGTATTAATTTTACCAAAAAAGATGATATTTTCGTGTTCAAGGATAAATTTGATGGCTACGTGTTCGTTGATTCTAATGGTACTGAATTTCCAGCTATTGTTGAATTTTCTCCTTACCAAAAAGTTCCTAGACGCCGGGTGAACACCAAGGGAGAACCTTTGTCTTGTAAGCAAAGAGATGCTAAATGTGGTACCATTGAAGAAGATGCTGATTATAAGACTTTCATTGAGAATTTAAATGATTCTGGTAGCCAGAAGAATCTACCATCAGCTGAAGTGTATCTTGAGGAAATTGAAGCTCGAGAGAAAGAATTGAAAGCCAATCATGGTGTTATCAAGGTGACTACACCTTTGATTGAATTTATCAGGCAAAAGAAAGCGGAAAAATTGAGGCTTAAGGAAGAGAGAAGAGAAGAAAGAAGAAGACAACAAATAGATCAGAAAAGAGCAAGAGATGATGATCACAAGAAAGATGACAAAACCAATACACTTCAATTTAAAGTGAAACAAAGAGAGAGGAAAAATAAAGCCAAGGAAGGTAACATTACAGGTAAGAATTTTATTAACCATTGACACGTAATTAGAATCACTAATTCATTTCATTTTGTCTTCTTTTTTGTTCTAGTTGCCAAAAATGAAAAAAGAGAACGTGACAGAGAGAAAGAAAAGGAGAAGGATAAGGATAAGGATAAGGACAAAGAGAAGGAAAAGAAAAAGCCCAAAGAGAAACCTGAGAAGGAAAAACCTAAACAGCTATTGGAAAAGGAGAAATCAAGTCCACCAGAACGTAGTGAAAAAGAGAGAGAAAGAAAAAGAGAAAGAAATCGTCGAAAAGATCGAGAAAACAAAGATGGAGGTAATGACAAGAACAAAGCCAGTGGTTCGAATAATGATCGGGACCAAGAGAAAGAAGGTGAAAAAGAAGCGAAAAAAGAGAAGAACAGATTCTTTGTGGTCACTTATTCTGGAGAAAAAGGTGGCAATGGTCGTAACCATGATTCCAATCGTAGAAATGATTCCATGGGTAATAAACATGGTTCTCAACAGTCAAGCTCATCTAGAATGGAGATTAGTCACAATGGAGATGACGAACCGACAAGAAGAGAAAGTGAAACGTGTGAAGGACAAAGTTCAGTCAATCATTCAGAAAACATGAAGAGTTCTAATAAAAAATCGGATAACCAGAGAGTGAGAAACAAAGATCGTCCAGCATTGGAAATCTATCGACCACGACGAGCGAGAAACAGTAATAATAATACTAATGGTTCTTCAGAATCAAATGATCACCATGATTCTGAAAATAATAACAACAACAAACCCGAAAGGAACATGAGAAAGACCAAAGTCTTCACTAGAACTCGTAATGCTGATTAACTTGCAACAATTAACTTTTCTGTTGCGGTTAAAAATTGATCATTTTGTTGCTTTTTCTTTCATCAAATAAAAAGCAAAAAGGATCAACAATGAATACATTTGGTTACTAGCAAATGTTTAACTTTTAATTGGCCAATATTTAAGCTGATTACTTGATCCACTGGATTGGATTGCGAAAAATTTAATCTCTCCTGGTAATTACTCAATCAACTAATTAAAACTACAACCAACCGAATCAATTACATGGAGTAATGATAAAGAAATCTCTCAACTCGGTGGAAAAGCTGACTAAATAAGAGATCGTAATTAACTTGATCGCAAACTAAGTCAACTCATTAACAGAAAATTGTTTTTTTTAATATCATCTTAGTGGCACGAATCACAAAGGGAAAAGAAAGTTTCTCATGAAAATGAAACAATCAATGATCAGGAATTAATGTTTTCACTAATAAAATGAATTGAAAATTATTTCTATTCAATCAAATTCTTAATCCTCATCGACAATTATGTCATCTTTTTGTTGCTCCATACTAACGAGTTGAAAACATTTGGAATAAGTTTCACCCAATTCCTTTTGGAGCTTTTGTATTTTCTCATATGATTTGATTCTTTTGTTAATTGTCTCAATTCCATTTCTTAATTGTTGACTTTGAGTGACGAGTTTACGAGTATCTTCACAAAGATCTTCAATTTCGGAGACATTTCGATAGATCAACTGAGAAACATCTTCGTCTTCATTTAGATTATCACTAATTTCATCGTAAATTTTTTCTTCTTCATTAAGAAATTCATCATAACAGTCCTGTAAGAACACAGAGAGAACAAAACAATTAACATTATTATAGTAAATTACAATTAATTAAACTTAAACAAACCTTTAAATAGGAAAAGTAAACCCGATCAGCTTTTTTCGTGAATTTCTTAAGGCGAGTGATCCGATTGTTGACCAATTTACTATTAAATTGTTTATCGATTAAAGTTTTGGAAAGTTCATCAAAAACAGAATCAATTTGAGCTGAAATATCTTCCATGGTTAAAAATCAAATTAACTAAATGTCAAGAAACACAATTAGAGAAATAAAGTCAAATTGAAAATGTACTTTACCAAAAATGACAAATCAAAATGGTCATCAAACATATGGAAGTCAATAGATGGAGCGGGAAATTGTAATTGTTTAGAAAATTGAACAATTTAATCAACTATTTAAATCACTTGAAAGATTAAGAATCTAAATCATAAGGTTGGACAATTTTACTCAAGTGATTAACTTAAACTTTTAGCTCTTAACTTGATGAACAGAAATGAAGTTTTCATGGTTCACATTGAATGAGAATTGATTCATTTCTATTTCATTTGTTCATCAATTTGGTTGATTAAACAAGTTAATTACGATAATTGGTGAAAGTTAATTCTTTATGATTTTTGATTAATTTGATGAGAATCATTGAATTAATCGGTTCAAATTGAGGAAATGAATGAATTTTATTCAATCGGAAATTGGAGATTAGTAATTTGTTGACGGTCCCTTAGAGCTTTGAATTGATAAAAACAAATGAATTTGATTTTTGATCAAATGCCCTTCTCGATCTGTCTCTTGGTTAAATTAGATTTAATTGTTCCTCTTTTAAAAAGTAATTTTAATTTTAATTAAAAGTCATGGGATCAGGAAATAGCACTCGTCGGGTGACCATTGTCAATGAAAGTGATAGTGTTCTTAAGGTTTGTATATTTGTATTGTCTCGTTATCCTTGACCGGTTTGTTTTCATTTCTCTTTAAACACAAAATGTTAATTTATTGACATTTTTCATATTCTTTTAACCTGTTAATTAATTTCTGTTCTTCTATTCTATTTTGTTTTATATTTTTTGCTAATTATTCCTTAGCTTTCCGACTCTGTGGTTGAAAGATTAAGGGAAGGAGTTGAAAAAGATCGCCCTGTATCTGGACAACAAACTAGACAGTCAACATCATCTTCCTCCATTCAAGATGAACCTCAATATGTTTCTCAGGTTTGTTCAACTTTTCATGTTCAATTGAATAAGAAATTTGATAGAAATTTTATTTGTTAATTTGTTCTCTCTCTCTCTCTCTTCCTAATAGCCTCCTCAACATCATCCTGGTGGTGGATCATATTTCACAATGGATACACTTAGACTTCGTCAGCATCACCAGGAAGAGATTGACTCGCTCCAAAGGCATTACCAGGCCAAGACTGAACTTTTGGAAAAGCATAATCGATCATTATTTGATGCTTCAAAATCAAAATTAGAAAACAAATTGAATCAAGTTGAAGAGAAATATATTTCATCTCATAGACATGAGCCCGTTTGTGTTGAAGCCTCGAGAAATGTTGAATTTTGTTTTAACGATAATCAAAAGATGCCTTTGAAGTGTTCAAAGGTAGCGAAAGATTTTATTAATTGTGTAGATTCAATTAGAAGGCAAGTGATCAACGAAGCTGCTTAAATAACCAAACAATTCAACTAATTATTGTCTTCAATTGTTTCAAATCAATGAGAGAGAAAAAGAGAGAGATACAAAATATATTGATACTAATTATCAATTTATAAGCAAAATTGATCAATTTTGTTTCAGAAAATGATGATGATGGAAAAATAATCTAAATCTCTTCTCCATCATCCTTTGTATAGAATAGACTTGCGATATTAATTCCCATCAGCCTTAAAAGTTGATAAATAAATTCTACTGTTGAAAGAATTTACTAGTGATCGAAAAATTTAATAAATACTAATGTAACAATTAACAAAATCGTTCGCGTTTTCAATCAAATTTTCAAACGAAAATCAAATTGTAATTTTATCAAGAAGAAAACAAAAAAATTCTCTTGATAGAAAATCGAATAACCTAAATATTTGATTCATATAATTTTATTTCTCTTATTATCCTTCTAAAAGTTAAATCATCAAAGTAATTTATTAATTTTTTCAATTTAAATTACAATTTGAATGAAAACAATTTTCTCAAAAAGTGAAATTGAAACCGAATGTAATTTCTACTCTTTCCCTGATTTTCTCTTCCTCAGCTCCATCTATCGGATTAATCTCCATGATTTAGCAAAACTGTTTCTTCAATTTTAATAGATTTTGTTTTCTTCAATTAGTTAATTTAGATTTTGTTAAATTGTTTTTCTATTTTTGTGTCATCTAAATATGAGTTCTATTGGTACTGGTTATGATCTTTCCGCTTCCCAATTCTCTCCAGATGGAAGAATTTTCCAAATAGAATATGCCCAAAAAGCGGTTGACAATAGTGGTACTGTTGTTGCTCTAAGAGGTAAAGATGGTGTTGTTTTTGCTGTTGAGAAAATTGTCCCATCAAAGTTACACGAGGAAGGAGCTAATCGGCGAATTTTCAATATCGATAGACACATTGGTTGTGCCACCGCAGGTTTGATTGCCGATGCTCGGGCCATTGTAAATGTTGGCAGAGATGAGGCTTCCAAATACCGGCGAGAGAAAGGTCAAGTTATCCCTTTAAAGTATCTTAAAGATAGAGTTGCAATGTATATGCACGCTTACACCCTTTATTCAGCATTAAGACCTTTTGGAACATCCATTTTAATGGGTGCTTGGGATCCCGTTGATGGAGCGCAACTTTATTGTCTTGACCCTTCTGGATCAAATTATGGTTACTTTGGCTGTGCCATTGGAAAAGCCAAGCAAGCGGCTAAAACTGAAATTGAAAAGATTTCCTTCAACGATATGAAATGTAAAGATTTGATCAAAGAAGCTGCGAAAATAATTTACATAGTTCATGATGAAATTAAAGATAAAAGCTTTGAACTTGAATTATCTTGGATCACTGAGGGAACCAAAGGTCACCATGAAGCTGTTCCTCAGGAAATTTTCAATGAAGCTGAAGCTTATGCTAAAGCCTCACTAAGACACGATTCAGACTCCGAGGATGAGGACAAAGAAGCTGAAAAGGGAAGCGATTCATTGAAGTCATCAACTCATTCTTAATCCATATAAACACGTGAAAGCTTTTCAAACACACATTTGAGGTCGAAAAAAACTTTACCGGTCAAGTATATGGTCAACTAATCGTAACTGTATAAATACATGAAAAAAAAGATACTTTTCTCAATGAACTAATTTCTATTAACTATATAAATAATTGAAATGATTAAATGATAACCATTTCATTTATTGATCTGTTACCCTATTCTCATGTTGATTACTCCAATTCCATTTCTTAATTGTTGACTTTGAGTGACGAGTTTACGAGTATCTTCACAAAGATCTTCAATTTCGGAGACATTTCGATAGATCAATTGAGAAACATCTTCGTCTTCATTTAGATTATCACTAATTTCATCGTAAATTTTTTCTTCTTCATTAAGAAATTCATCAAAACGATCCTGTAAGAACATAGAGAAGACGAAACTAAGTGAACGAACTTTATTGGTAACAACTACTTTAAACGTGATTGTTAATTTCTCGAATTAACAAAAAGTTCTAATCAACTTGTCACTCAATTGACGAAATTAATTCCATAAAGTTTCAAAGTCTCAAGTTGATCGATTAAAATTCTTTCTAATTAATCTAATTACTTAAATCACAAAACTTTGGAGGAAAAAATTTTGACCAAAGTCGCAAGTTGATCAATTAGACTTAAAATCAATTAAACACAATTAACTTGATTCCCTATTGAATAGTAAAAGTTAATCAAGAGAAAAAATTTCCAACTTATCATGTAAATGAAACATTCTGATAATCAATCAGTTAATTTCCTTTCTCATTCAATTTAATTGTTAACCATGATTGATTTTAGACTAAAGTAATTAGATGAACAGTCAACATATTTAACTTAAATTGTTATTATCAGTCAATACAATTTACATGAGACTTTTGTTTAATATTGTTAATCTTAAATCTACATAATAGACTTTCCAATTTACAAGTATTAACAATTTATTCAATTGTTCACAATTAATTCACAATCAATAGATTTCCTCCTTGTTGATTAATATTAATAGTTTCTCATAATCTGCTAGTTTATCTGCTATTTATTTAAAATTCAGCTGAACAATTTAATAATAATAATAAATTTCTAAATCAGATTGTTGATTCCATTTAATTCAATAAAAAACACGAAAAGTTTATAATGAAATAATAGCAATTTGAAATTCGACTTGTAATCAAAATCCAATTGTTAACCTCGAATGATAATTTGATACATACAAAGAGAGATAGAAATTAAATCAAATTTGATTCGATATCATTTACATATGAATTTCAATAGAACAGAAAAAAAAACATGATATAAATGAAATTACGTTTGGAATAAGAGATTGATATTGATTACTCTTAATTGCGATCACTTGATTATTGTAAGTTCGCTTGATAACACAATGTTAATTGTTGAGAAAAAGAAGAAGAAAAAAGTTGATCATCTGTCTATTGTATCGATTTTATGATGAAATTTCAAGTAAATTGTTACAATGACAATTAAAAGTAAATCAGAAAGTGAAAAGTTGATTGTTTCCACTGGGATTTTGCAAATGTTATTATAATTAAATTAATTGTCATTAGAAAATAATAAATAAACTGAGAGACTCACCACACACCCAAAAGAAACTGAAGAAAACATTTGCCTCTGTTATCAGAATTTTCCTCCTGTCATCTTAATGAGAACAGATTAAATATGAATTTCTCTCTCCTGTTAACTCAATTCAAAGGTAACACAGGGTAAGAGATGTGAATGATTCTGAGAGATGATGATGATGAAAAGAGTCAGAGTAATAAATAAAAAAGTCTTCTGCTTGAATCACGCTATCTTCATTATCTCCATCACTCTCATCATGAGGATGAGTTTTTTTCCCTTATTCCATATTAATACATATCTTTGTGGAAATAATAAAGAAATTACTAATCTATTTCTCTCTCGAATTGTTCTCGCTAACGTTTTCTTTTGTTTCCTTTGTGAACAATAAATTTTAAGGCGTTTTTATCATGACACTGATTACATTTGAACAGAACTGAGCTCATAAAAGAAAAGAGGGAGAGAGAGAGAGAGAAAGAGAGAAAAGAGAAGAGATGAAATAGTGAATGGAACTTTTTTTCTGCTGAGTTTTCACTGGAAATTCTATTTCATTATTTGGAAAACCATGAGTTCAGGGGAACATGAGGGAACATGGTGACATTCTGGAGATGGAAGGAAAAGAAGAAGAAGAAAAAAAAATGAGTCAACTAGATTAGGAAGAGAAGAAAACAAAAAGAAAAGAAAAAGTGTAAACAAAAAGTGATTCTAATTCTCAATGAAAAGGATGAATAGTGACAAGAATTGAGATAATCAATTAATTGAGGAAAGGAAGAGACAATTTTCAATGTAACACTAGAAGAAACAATTAGTTGATACAAGTTATTAGCGATGACAATGACCAAAAGAAAGTAATCAACTCTGTATGAGCAAATTATAGACTTTTAATCCAATAATGTACCGAGTATTTAATGATAATGGTCACTAATATATAACTTTTTCTTTCATCATTGATGGACAAAAGTGAATCAATGTAAACATTAACAATTAACTTTAACAATGGTAATCAAGTCAATTCCAATCATTGTTACAATGTAAATTTCCAAACTTTACGATTACCTGATAATTCAAGGGAATCCGAGTTTATTGTTGTTCGAAACTTTTTGTTCCCTCTACGATTACTTTTATAATCCTATTTGCGAGAGAGAGAGAGAGAGAGAGAGAGAGATAATAAATATCCTCATTCATTTGATTAATTACAATTTATTGAAGTCGATGGTTCATTTATAATCCATATAAACATCCGAGCTTCGAACATATAATATTTGAAGATCGAAAGAAACTTTTCCGGTCAAGTTAATGGTCAACTAATTGTAACTGTGAAAATCCAATAAACTTTTCTCAATCAACTAAATGCACATAAATGAAATGATTAAATAATCACCTTTTCTAGTTGATCTATTATAATGACCGTTGTTATTTTCCTGCCTCCTCATAACATGAGACTGTCAATGTCTTGGAATGGACAAATTTACCGTTATCATTTTCACTCTCCTTTACTATCAACATTATAACTGTAAATTCAAGTCAATTAATAGATATTGTTTATTGTTTCCTTTTCTCTTCATATTCCAATTGCTCAATATCATCCCATGGATCTCATGTTGCTCATCTGGTGTATTTATATTTGTTTTACTCGGTTGGATGAAACATTATTCCAAAGGCAACGTCACCACCAAAAGTTCAATTATAACTTACATGATAAAGTTAAATCGGGTCGATAAAATTGATCAATAACAGTTACGATTAAATAAAGACAGAAAACTTATTTGACTCTCTAAAGGTAAACATGTTATTGTGAATAGACAAATACACACTCACACACACACAGAATCTGACAAGAGAAATCGTTACCTTAGAGATGTTGATCATCATTATCATCATGATTCAGATTCATCTTTTCAATGGTATTAATTAAGCAACCGAATCGGAGTTGATTGAATCTCGTTTCAGCTCATCTTTCATGATTGATTGATATCCAACAACGATTATCATTCTTGGTGTGATGGGTTTCATTTTTTTTCCTTCTTATAATTTCTTATAACAGGTAATCCATTTGGTATCATTAATACCGTTACTTTTATCTCAATTCCGAGTTCAGTTCATTGTAGTAGAAGAAAATTTCATGGAGAGAGCATGAGAGAGAATAAAGATCTTTGCTACTCTCTCTTTCTTTTTTTTGTTCGCCTTTTCTTTCATAATATTATTACAACTTTTCGAGGAAATCAAATCATTTTAAATGAAAGGAAGAAAATTCATTGAAAATAATTCGATTGAATAACATTATTATTATCACTATTTTCACCTAGAAAAAGGCAGAATAATCAAGAATCGAAATGATACTCGTAGTGAGTAGCATTTGTAATGAGACCTTTGAGGTTTAACTTTAAAAAATAGAAACTCGAAAATGTTTCGACTTTTTTTCTCTCATTTATATCAATTTGTCAATGGAATTGCTTCTTGATTGAGATTATTGACAATCCATGAATTCAAGGTTTTCTCCTTTTCAATCTCCTTCAACATGGCTGGATAATAGATCAACAATAGAGAAGCAAAAATTGAGCCATTTCTCCTTCTTTTGATATCACAATTAAGCGAAAAAATAACAGAAAGAAAAAAAAGTTGCAGAAATCAATCGATCATTAAGATCTGAAACAAAGAACACAAAAAACGAGAGAGAGAGAGAGAGAGAGAGAGAGAGAGAGAGAATATATCAATATCTATGGAGAAAGATAATTACCATAAATAAGGTGAAGCTCGAGTTTAGAATCATTGAAACAATGGTTTAGTTGCGTGAGTTTCATCAATACGATAAACGATGAGAACGATGGTAATAATATAATCTAATGATAGTCGAGAATGAAAAATCTATGGATCGATAATTTTTCACTGATTAAACAATCAACCAGAGTGGGGGTGGTGGTGGGAAGAAGATAATATAATATATAATTCACTAGAATAATAACAGTTTCGTATGAAAGTTTTTACCGTTAAGAGTTAACTTTGATTAAGTTGATTAAAAGTATAAAGCTAATTAGTGATTGGGTGGATATAAACAATAGAAAGTGTGAGAAATTGTCTTATAACCATTAAAATACTCAACAGAAACTTTTCCTTTATCGTTTATAGTTTGATAATTAATTGATTATCGTAAGTGAGTTAATCATATTCAAAAAAGAAACAGACAAAAGGAACAAGATAAAAGCTAAATAAGAACATCAATCTTTGTGATTATTTGATTATCTCTCTAATCAAACAAGATGGCGGAATCACTTTCATCGGATGAGAAGATAAATATTGAGACAACAGTTAAACCTTTTGCTTTATTTTCACTTAATTTTGATGATTACAACATTGAGAAGCGAAAACAATCAAGTGGATTAACCAAATTATACCATAAAGTGATTAAAACCTTGATATTATCCCTTCTGGTTCGAAGTATCTTCGTCCTTTGGTACGAAGATGATTATGTTCAATTACTTCTTGGTTACAGTTATAAAACTTTTCCGTATCTCCATTGGGTTATCATATTTTATTTGATCTACACTTACGCTGTCCTTCATGTTGGAGCTCGATGCTGTCACACTAATCTCTATAATCTTGAATTCGTTGAAATATTTAAGGTAATTGTACAAGTTTATCTGCCATAAATTAACCACAATTAAACCCGAAATTAGCTCAACCATTATTCTGGTTTAACTGTTGACCATTAGGATGATTTTCAAGTCAATAATTAATGTTTTTCCCTTTATATCACTTTGATTGCCTGTTAACGTTAATTTTTAGCTTCTTAATGGAACCAAATTACCACAAGAACTTGGAACCAACATTAAAGTTGTTGAATCTCTGGCTCGTTACTCTCATTCCAAAATGGCTACTTGTCGTTATGTTATCGGTGTTCGAACTGTTATTGGTTCAGTCGTTTTCGCATCAATCTATCTTGATGATTCACCTCTCATGAAACCAGGAACATTTCAAGAAATTGATATTCATTCAGTTGCTTGGGCAGTTTTATTAACCTTTTTCGTATTCATTTGCTCGGGTATCATTTATGTGACCATAAATCTATTCGATATTCTTGGTTATTATTTTCAACTTCGATTTCATAAAGTTAATCAAGATATCGAAAGTATAATCACTGCTCGAGAATCACCCGTTTCAAATGTTAAAGTAATCGAATTGATGAAACAAATATTAATCGAACACGATTCTTTATGCTGGAAATTAGATCATTACAATCGCTATTGGTGTCTAATTGTTATGATCACTTTTTTCGTACAACCGACAATCTTTGTCTACACCATGTACGAAATTTGCTTCATGTACCAACCCTGGAGTGCGATGATCCTACTCTGGGCTCTTAACCTCGAATCGGCTTATATATTTACTCGAATGTTCCTAATCGGTGTTTCTTTATCAGACGAAATTCATCATGTTTACTTACGAGCTGTTCGAGCTTCTTTCGCCAAATATCCATTGGATCTTAGACTTCAGGTAAAACTCTTAGTTCTCTCTCTCTCTCTCTCTCTCTCTCTCTCTCTCTCTCTCTCTCTCAAATAATATTAATAACTGGGAACATGGACAATAGATTAGTTGGAGAAACTTTGATTAGATCATGAAAAAGTTCCAATATATAACTTGGAACATTTCATTTCGCTTTTATTTTTTATTAAAAGAAGAGGAAAAAAAATCAGCGACCATTTTTCATAACTTTCTTACTTTTTTTTTCTCTTCTCCTTTTTTCTCTGTTTCATCATTCATGATAAATGAAGACTGATGAACTTTAGCTCCATTGAAACCATTTAATCTGTCGATTCTCATTTCGAAAACGATGTCGTAAAAATTTCTTATAACATTTTATCGTATTTCTAATGTTCTATCGATTTTAGACTTTACTTGAAATAGACTTTCACTTATGAGTTTATATTTTATCCATTGTCATAATCCTAGAATGAAAATATTCTGTGGTCATAAAAATCTATTTCTAGAACTAAATCATCTCTCTCACAAGCTGAAAGAGAAAAAGAAGAAAAGTTCTTACTACTACCATCTAATATCAGATTCTCTTTCATTCATCCATTTTCTCTCTCCATCTACAACTGATTATCTATTCTCTCTCTATCTCTTCATACAGATTCGAATATTTATCCAAAGGATATCCGGAGCCACCATAGGCTTCTATTGTTATGATTTGTTTGGATTAAGTCGACATTCTTTCTACCATGTAAGTAATAAATTCAATTTAACATGAGCCAAACCGATGAACATGATGAAAAGAAAAGTAACAAAATTGAGAATCGTAAACGATTATATAACCAATTATCAAGTTTCCATTACGATTTTATATCCCAAGTAATTTAAGAATAGGAAATGACGATAATTTTTACTTGTTCAAAATTCTGATTAATCAGATTTCCTTTTGATTTCGTAAACTCGAGCATTGAGAAACTTTTTTGCATTTTTCTCTCTCTCTCGATGGATTAACTTGATTGTATTAATATTAATATGAATATTATCATCTCTAGTTGATGATGAAACTGCTAACGAAGCAATTTTCTCCCTCTCCCTCTCTCTCTCCCTTGTTATCAGAAGGAGGGAGAAAAAAGTTCATGGAGAAGTTTTCATTAAAATGCTAACTGGGAACTTGAACAATCCAAGTGAAAAATTGATAATATTCACAATATTTATACTTTCATTGTCTAAAAATAATTCAAACAACCAAATTGAGTTTCATGGAAGCTCACGGAAAATATCATTACTAATCTAATTAATTCTCAAGGTTCTCAGCTAATTTATCCACTTTTCCATACAGAATACATGGTGTAAATCTCTCGGTCAATAGTTTATCCTGAATTTATCAGAATTTATCGTACGGAAAATGAATATTGTTACACTTTTCCTTTCACATTTCATATGAATGAAGATAAATTGATTAATTAAAAATAATAATTTCCCAATTCTCTAATGATTATCGGTTGATTTAAGAGGCACAATTGATAATAATAACTTTTACATGATCCAAGTGACGTTTAAATCTCTTGCTAATTGTTGAAATTAATTAATTTGTCTATTGTTTTTGCTTTTCTTTCACAACAATTGAAGGCATTGGTTCATATGGGACAGAACTTTTTCCTCATCATCGATTTCGTTGTCTCACAAAAACAAGCACGAGAACAAATCGCCCTCGAAAGAGCCGCTCGAGCCGCCGCTTTGGGCAATATGGCCGGTTAGAGCTCGATTGACCTTCTAGACGACCTTAAAACCACAATCATAACGCTGAATGTACATTATATTTATTGAGGTTCCTTAATTATTACAAAATTAATCCATTATCCGGAAGATGAGGAAAAAAAAAATATTCATTGTAAATAATTGATAAAGTTAATTATTGAGAAATCAACTCAACTATTATCATTACATTAACTGAACCCACAATCAACCTAATCCCCTTCCAACAATTAACTTAATTAATAATCCATTTTGATTGACAGCACTTACCTTTTCTATTGTTAAAGAAATTTCATTCATTAATCTTAATTCATTGGAAAACTATTACAAACAGACAATTAACTAATTGATTGTTCAATCTATTAAATCAATCATAACTTTACTCTTTCTCTCCCAATGCTATTAACACACAACAATCAATTAATTGTTGTGTAGCCATTATAATTATTGTTGTCCAATCAAAAGAAACTCAAGATTAAATCATATTAATATTATCAATTTACTCTCTCAAAGAATAATAATAATAAAGTTCTGAGGAAAAAAGAAACTCGAAAACAATCAACTCGAATTGTATTTATACATAATCCAAGCCAGAGATTAAAATTAATCCGCGAATTTGAAATAATTGTTATTGAAAGACAAGAGAATTTATTAATTTAAATCATCGGCCTTTACTTGTTACCAACCCCCCGTTTATATTTGTAAATCTATTTACAATAGTTCGTGAAGTATTTAATGACCTTAGTACCAATGGTTCGGGTAGAAAGGATCAGCAAAAAAAACACCTCAATGTGTGAAAACGACACATCAAAGGAACACAATTGTTTCTTTAGGTATCATAAGTATTATTACAATTTTTTAGTTTAAATTTTTATTTTTGTCCAAATTTAGAACTTTTTTGTTTACGTATTCGACAAATTTTCTCAGTCCATTCCAATTGGAAATATATTCAGATGATGGTGACAATTATTTCCCATTTGTTTGTCAACATTTTTCGCATAATGTGTCAATCGATTTACTCTTTTCTTTTTAATTTTTCTTCCTTATTCCTCTTTCTGATATTTTTTTCCTTCCATGTCAATTGATATTCATGTAAATCAGTGATGATCATGAATTAGAAAAAAAAACAATTTCCATGTCATTTGATTGTTGATTTTAACATTCGCTTGATTGATAATATTATTAAGTATTAGTAGAAACGAAAAAGTTTCCAATTGAAAATCAATCCAAAAATTGATGATGACAATTCCTATTGACTTGAGTAATTAGATAGGAAATTAAGTTAGAATTGAGTTGAAAAAGAATCCAGTTAATTGTGAATATAACATCATAAGAATCAATTGATTGGTCTTTTTTCATCATCATCATCATCTGATGATCTCGCATTTCGCATTGTTGTTTGTTGATAGTTGTTGACAGTTGATGTTGATGTTGTTGTTGTTGTTGTTGTTTGTTTATCGGTGTTGTTGATGTTGATTGTAGAGTGGGTGGCAAAAGGAGTAAATAATATAAATCAAGTTTTAAGCCAAAAATGTCACACACAAGAAAAAATTGTAATTATTGTAAAATATTAATTTTGTTGCTCAAATAATCATAATTAGGTTAAGAATGATAATGATAATAATAATAATCATAATAATAAGACAATAATAATCATAATAATTAGAGATTGAAGATAATGATATAAGTAAATTGTAAGTGCTGTTAACAAATTGTTTTGTTTTTTGTGGTTTTTTTTGGGTTAATTTAGTTTTGGGTTAAGTTAAAAAGTAGAATGAAGCAAAATTGTTGTATGGAAGAAGCAAAATAATCAAGAATATAATTAAATTACGTTGTAAAGTATAATCATAATCGTGATGAGATGTTGATGTTTTTTTATGAGATATTTTTACTCTTTTGTTGTTGTTGTTTGTTGTTTGTTTGTCAATGGGAATTAAGATGAAGCCTAATTGTATTAACCATTAGATGACAATGATGTTGTGATGAAATTCAATAGATGATCAATAGGCGATGTTGTTTTCGATGATGATGATTTATAATTGAATGAAGAGAGAAAAACATCTTAATATCATTTTTTTTCGTATTGATGGAGAAAAACTTTGAATTATTAGAAGATGAAGATGAAGATGATGATGGAGAAAAAGTGAAATATTCACTATTTTTACTTATTATTATTATTATTTTCGTTCATCTTCCTTGGTTATCATCATTATCTTCATCTTTATCTTCATCTCTGATATTTTCTCCATGGTTTCGGTTGTATAATAGTGTAATTACAATCTAAATGATGATCAGAATTTTATTATTATTCCATTTTGATTATCATTCTGTTGTCAATTAATGAGTTAATTCTGAGGGTGGGAAGTTTTCATGAGAACAAAAAAGAAACCATGTAACATGTATTACATATCAATATGATATCTGATGAAAATATAGTTTTATATATTATCAGTTGAATTTCCTATCAATTGATTTGCTGATTAATTGCATTAATTTTATAAAACAATTTTTGGTGAACATTTAATTGTTGCTTGGTGTTAATCAACCGGTAACACGTTCGGTAATTCAATTGAGCCAATATTTCATGAGGAAGAAAATATGAAAGAAAAAAAAAGACAGAGAAAAAGAAAGAGAAGAAAAGAAAGGGCAATAAGAAAAAGGGAAGATTCTTCTTATAGAATGATAAAAGATACAAAAATCTTCATCTTGGCCCCCAACAATTAAGATAATTAATCAACTCATCATAATAATAATAATCGATTTGTTTTCACATTGAAAAGTTTTGAATATAATAATAATAATAATAGTTGAAAGTTTCCATTCATTTGTAAATATAATTAGTAAATAAGTGATCATAATTAAAGTTTAAAGACAAATTAAAGACAAATTGATAATGGTTATGATTAAATGATGAAAAAAACAAATAATTAAGGGTTTACATTGTTAATTATATAATAATAATAATTAGTTTTGTTGAAATAGCCACTCAAATATCAATAATAATATAATCATAACATTAGGTGGGAAATTTGAATTGATTGAAAAGCAAACATTTTATCATGATGGTTATTGAAAGGTTTTGTTTTTTCAGGGTGAAAGTGATCAGATAATAATGATAATAAAATGTAATCATAATAATGTTCATGGTAATCATGATGTCGATGATTCGAACGGAATGAAAAACGTAAAGGACTAGAATTAAATTAAAGGAGAAAATAATGAAACTTTATGTTCGATATTTTTCTTCTTCATCTTCGAATGTTAAAGAGAAAAGTAAGAAAAGAATTTTTGGTTTTTTTTCTATTTTTTTTTGTCGACAAGAAAAAAGAAAGAGAGACACAAAATCTTATATAATATTATCTGATATTCGAAACAGAAAATAAATAGATGAGCATGAGGAGGGTAGAAGATGAAGAGAAAAAAAAGGATGAGGATGAGAAGGAGAAGAATAATGAAAATGATGAAAAGTAAAAGGAGAATGGAAATTTTTCCGTTTTTTCGTTGAGTTTGTGTAGAAGATAAAAAGAGAGAGAGATGCACTCAAAATCAATCGAAATCGATTAATCGATAAAATGGAAAAGATTATTTAAGAGTCAGGAGAGAGAGAGAGAGAGAACGAGAGAGAACGAGAGAGAGAGAAGGATGAAGAAGATGAGGATGATTGGAAACGGAATGTTAAGAATAACAAAAAACAAAAGAAACATGAAAACGATTCAATTGAATTTTCTGTGTATTCTCAGAACTTTCTGAGTTTTTTTTTGTTTCTTCTTCTGTCCAATTCTGTCAATTGTTAGATGATCATCTTTTGTTATCATTGTTGTTTAATAAAAAATAAGGTTTCATCAGCAATTGATTATAATAAATTAATGGTTAATCAATAAATTGCTCATTTCCATTGTGATTGTTGTTGTTGTTGTAACAATATCTTCATGAATCAAGAGCAATTTTTAGATTGTAATTGATTTGTAACTAAGGAGATTTGAAGATGATGATGAAGATGAAAACAGAAAATAACAGTAAGAGTAGGAAGATGATGATGATAATGATGATGATGATGATGTAAGAAAATCACCATAATTGACATTTATCATGAATTCAATTGAAACTAAACTGAATTAAATCATAATGACAAATATTGATCATTGAGAATAACTTTTTGACTTATTATCAAAATCTAATTTCAATTTGTAGCATTTCATTATCATGATTTAAATCAGTTGATTAGCACCTTTCTCTCAATTATCTTATTGCTACAATTTAACAATTATCCTTAATTAGTTGGGTTAACTGTTCATCTTTCCCTCTGATTTTAATCTTAGTAATCAGCTGAAAACATTGAATCAAATGATGAATACGTTTTGTTGATTGAACAAATTTGCTAATAACTAATTAGCTAAATTGTATCAACCCTCTCATAGTAAGTGAATTTACTGATTAATCTGATTTGTTGTTGATTAAAAAACAAGCTTCTTGATTCAAATGAGATAATGAAAACAAACCCAAGATTTAACATTTGATTTAATTTCACCATTAATCAGAGATGTAAATTGGTTCAATTAACCTAAATGATTGCAAGTTAATTAAGGACATTTGATTGACTAGATTTGATCTTAATTGTAACAATTGATCCAAGACTCATATCAGTTAGTTAATCATCAATATAAAAGATGAGAGCGTAGCAACAATTAAATAAAAAACAAAACGTAAATCAAGTAAATTGTTTAAAACAATCAACAAGTTCGCCATTAACATTAGCAATTAAATTGCCAAATTAAATCACTTGATTTAGTTACACTTGAAAAAGCAAACAGGAAATTTAAAAATTTCACTCAAATGGTCACTCTGGTCAATATGAATTCTGATGATTTTCAATTGAAATTAAATTCCCATTGATGATCAAATATCAACCGGAAGATGATGATGATCAAATTTGGAAATTGTTTCAAGTGTAACTAATTTACTGAATAGAATTCGTTGTATTTAAATGATTATGCAAATGACGAGAAGGCTTAGAACTTGATTTACGTTTTCTTTTTCAAATTTTCTCTCTCAAATGTTGATTCTATCATCATCATTATCATCATCATCATCATCTTTACCCTGAGATCTTCTGGCGATTCAGTTTCCATCTCAACATTTCATCATCTTCCTCTGAATCTCCATCACTTTTTCTTGATGTTGTTATATTAATTTTCGTTTCCTATTATTGTTATTATATAAAAAATTGAGTTTCTTTTTTCTTCTCTTTTCTATTTTTTGTTTGAATCATTTCCTTTTCCTTTATCTTACTTGTTATTTGTTAACCATCACGAATCTCCTAATTTATACGTAGACTTAACATTTGTTTTTGCTCGTTTTAAAAGAGACTTGAAGAACTCGATTGCCCAAAGTGTAACCATTGAGACTCTGAATGGCAACCAGAGCTTCATCGTAATTTGTCATGGTAACAAAACCGAAGCCTTTACATTTGTTTGTTTGAAGATCACGAATTACTTTAACACTTTGGACAGCACCGAAAGGACCAAATAGTTGCCATAAAAGGTTCTCCTCGGTATCGGGGGCAAGATTATACACAAATAAACACCAACCAGTACCATTAACAGCGTTTGTTGCTAGAAGTGGATTTGCAAGTAGATCTCCAGCTAACGGTGAATATCTGTTCCAATTAATGATACACGATAATACAATGATAATGAATGATAAGAGGAACAACGAAAGTGTGACACAAGTTGAAGTCGAAGGAAAAAAGAAGGCGAGAAAAAGTATATATAAAAGAAGACGAAAAGAAAAAAGAAAAGAAAAAAACAAAAACATAAAATTAGAAAAGAATGAAATAAAATTATCTGTTTACCTGGTTATCGGTGACAGGGGAATGTACCTGAATCGGTTTGCTGGATGATGAATTGGTCCAGCAAATCGACGCTGAGGTGAAAGATATGCGGCCAGAGGAGCGAGGGCTTTGGCATTATTGCTTGGGTTATTGGCAAATTTAACTGTTATCGGGTCACTACTTCCTTCCGGGATCGTATTATGTAAATGTTTAATGGCCCTTTCGGCCTCTATCCTTTGGTCAAATCGGACAAACCCGACACCTTCTCAATATTTGGAAACAAAAAGAAAATATCATCCCAATTAATTTAAACAAAAAAAAGTCTCACCAAATTAAATTATCTTTCTGAAATTCATATTTCTATCATGAAAATTGAAGAAAACGATATAATAATGATAATTATCCTTCCCTAGGAATAGAAAATTATTATTTCTTTTATTTCCTGCTAATCATTTTCATCTTCATCAGCATTATAATCATCACCATTTAACCAAATTACCTTTCATAATAATATATTACAGAATAACATTTAATCATGAAAAAAAAGAGGTTAATCTTATTAACACAATTAACAATTGTAATACTTTTCCCCTGGCAAATGATTAAATGATTACCTCTCAATTGAATATAAAACTTTTTCCATACAGAAAAAAAATTAAAGACAAAACCAAATGGAAATTATCAATCTCGAATTATCAAAAACAATAATAATCCTGAGAAACGATAACTTGAACAATCATCTATCACAATTCTGGAAAATTGTTATTATATTAATCAAATGCTATCAAATTGATAAAATACAAAGTGATAACTATTATATGGACATTTAAAAGATAAATGTTTCAAGTCAAGTGATGGATAAATTATTTCATATTATTGCTGTTTCTTCAATAATTTCAGCACGACAAGTTATGAATGTCTAAAAATACATATAACACATAAATTGGAAAAAAAAGTGAATTCTATTTTCCCATTTGCCTTGCGGCCATTTATCCTAATATTATATATTTTGGTTACATGGAATATGAAAAAAAAGAAGAAGAAGAAAAATATAAAGTTAAATCTATTTTTTTATGTTACCTGTAATATTGTCACAAAGTATTCGTGATGTTATTATACGTCCATAAGGTGCAAATAGTTGTTCTAATTCTTGTTGTGTCATGGCCTTAGGTAAACCACTAACGTAAAGATTGGCTCCTTTTATGGCTTCGCTGCTCGGTCTGGCAAAAGAAACCTGATAAATAATAGTGAGAGAGAGAGAGACGATCATTATTATTAATACAGAATTTAAATATCACTTGGTTATCCAATCAAACAATCACAACGAAAAATATATATTATATAAATAGTTTGAAACATGATAATCATAAGGCAGTTTATTTAATATCATCAAATAATCAATCATTAAGAAACATCATCAACTGTTTTTTTTTTGGTTAATTCTGAGAATCGGGAATTATTTTGGTTACATTTCATTTCTGGTTATGCTTATTGTATTTGTATTTGCTTGGTTTTCTGGTTCTTGTTGTTATTATTATTGTTTTCATGATATTTGCTTCATGTATAACAATATAAATGCATATTGTATTATTATTATTGAGTAAAAGTAACTGTAAAAAAAAACAAGACAACCAGTGAAACTATTGTGGACTTGAATGTGGTTCCTTGAGCATAAATAATACTGATAATCAAGATAAAGTAATATTATCCTGGTTTCTCATTATTATAATCATATACGAAAATGATCAGATCACATATATAATACATATTAAACATATTCATTAAACAAACAGCTTCGAATCAGTGATTTCCTAATAGTTGCCTTGTTATTCAGATACAAAATATTAACGGTAAACACAATGAAGAGAACAAGAAATTTGATATCACTTTAATTAAACTCTCACTTTTTATGTTGCTCTCTTGATCTTTCTCTCTTACTCACTTTATCTCTAATCATCTTCTCTGAATTGAGTTCTGGTGGATAGAATCATGGAAAAACATCATGTCTCTCATTATCAATGTTAATATATAATAATAATAATGAAAATTTAGATTCGATGGTAACAGAATGTCTTAGATTACATTCTCATCCAATTTTCTTTCAATATCTCTCTATGTGTGTTTCCATATATAAAGTAAATGGTTATTATTGAGCTTCGATTATTGATTATTGGGTGAAATGGTTGAGTATAGTAGTAGAAGGAGATAAAGAAAGAGGAATGATGAAAAATATATAAGTTACTTTAATATTACACAAAAGAGTAAAAGTAAAAGAGATAAATAGATGAGAAATAAGAAAAGCTTAAGTTGATTTAATGTTATCTGCGAACTTGAAATGATATTTTACAGAAAGAAAGAAAGAAAGAAAGAAAGAAAGAGAGAGAGAGAGAGAGAGTAGATGATGAGATTGATTATGATGATGAGAATCGAAGATCAAGAGTAAAATACTTACCTTTAATTGGAGTTAAACTAAACAGTGAACTTAAATGAAGCACTCAGAATGAAAAAAATATCTACTATTAGATTGTATCAGGAAGAGGATGAGGATGAAAAGGATATTGTGATGATAAAATAAATAAAGGAAATAAAATGATGTTAATGATGAGAAGATAAAGAATGAGAAAGAGAGTGAGAGAGAGAGGTTGATAGATAAATGTTTTATCTTTTTCTGAAAAGTTATAAACAAAATAAATGACATCGACATGAGTAATAATGATAATAATTCCGAAGGCCCATGAAATGGAAGATAAAGATTCTCATCATCTTAACGTTTAAAGTATTTAATGTTATCATCATCAGAATTTTCATCATTATCTTCATTTTCTACCCCATCATCTCCATAGTCTCTGTCTGTCTGTCTGTCTTTTTCTTCCCCATGTTTTCATCACAGAGAAAATCAGTAATGTTTATATTATTTATCATTATTATTATCAAGATATCTACATACACATAAATGTATTCATGGAAGATCAATTTCAATGAACAAAACCAATAAATCTTTAAGTAAGATTTATATGAGAAAAGAGAGATGATGATGAGAAAAAGTAAAAGAAAATTCGAAACAAGATGAAGATAAAAGAGAGATGAGAAAAGAAGAATAAAAGAAAACAATAGAGGAAACTTTTTTCTATGCTAATATCATATTTACTTTTTCTTTTTACTCCCAGTTGAATTTCCTTCCCAGTTTATAATATTTATTTCATTCTATTCGAAAAGGTTTCATTGTAGGTGTTAGAATCATCATGTTAATGATGATCATGAAGAGAAAAGAGAAAAGAAATTCTCTAAAAAGAAAGAATATCAAAAGTTGACATGAAAATGTAAAAATGTTCGAAAAAAAAAAGATTATCCTTAGATTCATTTTCCAAGGATAATTTAAAATTCTGAACATCTCAGACTTTCTATCATGTGACATGATGTCTCTTGATAATAGTTTCTGATTATTCTTGATTAGCATCTAATCATTTTTTTTATTCTTCTCTCTCTCTTCCAGCTCATTGGCTCGTTTTCTGTGGTTATTATTATTCACTTATCATGGAAACAATTAGCATACATTAATGTTCACCATGTTGACTATTATTGTTGTTTTATTATTACGTTAATTCAGATACACAGGATGATGAGGATAAGAAGATGATGAGTACGAGTTATCATCTTTTTCCTTATCATCAACGTGATTTGGTAAAGTAAACAGATATTTCATGATAATAGTGAATCAAGAATGAATCAGAATCAATGAAACTATGTATTGAATTATTTATCTGTAACTTTATCAACTAGATGATGAGACAAGTGAAAAGATGAGGATGAAATGATAAAAGAGACTTAGAGAGAAAGTAATTTACACTTGAATGAAATTTCAGAATCAACATCATCATGATTCTGATGAGAAATGACAAATATTCACAGTTTCAATGTCTTATTATCATGGAGAAGATGAAAAAAAAATCAATTCTCTTTCTTCATGATAACAATTATTATCATTTTCAATTTTCAGTTATGGAAATTGTAACAAGATGATAATCATTACAATGAGAAATCTTCATCACTATTAATACAACCAACTTTTTGAAGATTTAATTAGGGAAAATAGACAAATTACCTTTCGACAAAACTTTGATTGATTAACTATTATAATTAATCATTGGAAGAGAGAATTTGAAAAAAAAGTTTGATTCAATTATCGTAACATTTTGATGTGAATATTAAAAGTCAATGTCATTCTCATGGGTTATCGATTGAGAGTGAAAATATCTAATCAGTTCAATTGATTATCTCATCAAAATTGATTAGATAAAAAAATATCCTAATCTTTTTGCTTCATCCTTAATCAGGATATTAAATGATCCGCATCTTTTTTTGTTCGCCATCATGTTAACCCAAATATTTGCTTAACATTAAATAAACAGAATAATTTTTTCTCGTTACTGTTGTATTGAGGTTTCATTGTTTCAAACAAAAATGTCAAACATATTGTCACATAAATACAAATGATGAGATAATGGTAACGATAAAAATGAATTATCATCATCGTCGTCATGAAATAGGAAGGAAATTCTCATGTTAATTGAATTAAATGGATGATGATGGTAATGATAAGATGAAAGATATTGATACAAATAAAAGCAAAATTAAGATTAAATTCTGATAGATAAACAGAGTAGAGAGTAAAGATAAATAAGGAATAATCAAGTTGAGATAAAATTCTGGTAAATGTTCAGATTCTTTAGCTTTAGATAAACTTAACGGTAAGTGATTCGAGTATTAAGTGACCTCTTTTAACCACCGGGAAAAGGGACGAGATGATAGAGAGTGAGAGAGAGAGAGAGAGAGACAAAGAAGACAAAGAAACTGATGGAAGATTAAAAGGAGGAGGAGGATGAGAGAAAGAGAGAAGGTGGAAGATAAAGATTAGAAATAGAATATGCTTGGGAGAGAAAAGGTGAATGTTAAAGTTAAAGCATAAAAAGAGAAGGAGGAAGATGAAAAGGGAGAGAAATAGTTTATTCCCTATCATCCCTAGGGAAGCCCTTTTTCCATTAAAATCGATAGGGAAGAGAGAGAGAGAGAGAGAGAGAGAAAAAAAGAAAGAGAGACAAATGATGATAATGATGATGAAAATAAAGCCGATGATGTTTACCACACCATTGATTGTACTATTGTGATGGTGGATACAAAGATGACGAGAAGGAGGATAAAGATTATGATAAAATGGGTGAGAAGACAAAAAGATATCAGAATTAGTTTTTAAATTTATTCCATAGAGAACGCGAGAGAGAGAGAGAGAGAGAGAGAGAGTTGAAGGAGCAATATAACAAAAGAGAAAAAGTAACGCACGTTTTGACACGCGTTTTAGCACGTAAATGACAAGAGTACGAAAACGCGTGCAAACAATAATAATGCAAATCAATTGACATCAATGTTTTCACCAATTTTATGACAACAATAAATTGAACATGAAAATAAACTGTACTTGTGATTAATAATATTAAATAGTATTTCGGATCAAGCAAATTAATAACCAGTTATTTGTTATCTTTTTCCCCTTTTCCTCGTTAAAAGTAAACCGCCTGAGGCTGATTAACAGCAAGTAATTAATTGTTAACTAATGACATGAGATTATTAAGTATTGTAATAACAAGAGAACCAAAAATCAAAAGATCAATAATAATAATACAAGAACAATATTCTCAATGAATGTGCAACAGTTTTTCTGGAACAAACAATTCCAATTCCAATTCCAATTTCAAACTCAAATTCTGATTCCGATTCTGATAAAAAAAACACCAAAGAAACAGATTAATTATCTTCTTACCTTAATTGTCTTATTTTGAAGCTTTAGTCCGTTAAGAGTGTTAATTGCTTTCTCAGCGTCATCTGATCTAACATAGTTCACAAAGCCGTAACCCAAAGATTGACCAGTGACCTTATCCCGAATCAGTTTACATGATTCAACCTCACCAATGGAAGCAAATAGACCACGAATATCCTCCTGTGTCATGGTCTGAGGTAGATAATTGACAATTAAATTGGTTTTCGAATCTTCTGAATCATCCTGAGAACCTGTTGATGAGGCTGATGCATTGTGCATGGAGTTACCATTTTGCTGTGGTAATGATGATACTGATGAGGAATCCATTCCGTTCATAATTGTATCCTCGGAGAGATTAAAAGATTCTGATGATTCGTCTTCCAGGTCGTGATCTTGTTTAATTTGTTGCGAGTCGAGTAAAATTTTATTATTATTATTATCCCTTTCGATTGGCGATGAGGAGGTTAAATGGGCTGACAGGGTATCAGGTTCACTGGAACGTGAATCAATCCCGTTCCTAATAACAATTTCCAGGACTTCGGCAATTTTTGCTTCTCAATTTGATATTTTATCGATATATAATAATAATAATAATATAATATAACAGGTAAATTTATCGATTAGATAAATAGCAAAAGAAGAAAAGAAAACGAAACAACAACAATTAAATTTGCCGATTGGTGATCAAATTTGATGAGCACAAAAATTATTTAGCAAAAATTTTTGATGATGTTCACTTAATATTATTATTATTATTATATTTGTTGGCACCTTTTGCTGATGAATTTCAGATAATTGGATTAACTTTCAAATTTGATTTGGTGACACTCACATAGATGAGACTCAAAAATATTGATGAAAGTTGAATTTATATTTATATCAAAAAAGGTTGAGGTTGTTATTAATTTATTGATGATAATGATGATAACCAGCACAGGCACAGAAAGAGAGACAGACAGAGGATTTTCAGAGTAAATGAGAGAGAGAGTAGACAGAATTGAATATGAATCAGTTAATTGTTGTTGTTTGTTGTTTGTGTCTTGGTGTTCAACTTATCGTTTTGTTATGTGTGTTTGTGTTGTGAAGATTTGGATTGGTGATTTAAATTGTTGGTTTGATTTTAAATTTTTGTCTAAAACAAACAAGGAAAAGACAGTTGATTAAGATTAAGAAATGTGATGATGATGGTGATTTAAGTGATTTGATAAAAGATGATGAAGAACAAAAATAAAAGATGAAAAGGGTAAGAAGAGAAAAAAATTAGATAGATGAGAAGAAAGAGAAGATAAAGAAGAGAAAAAAGATGATAATCTTAAAAAGGGGCAAAGAAAAGAATCGAATAAGAAGAAGAATAAATTTACGGGCAAATGAAGAAAAGAATAAGAAGAAAAAGATGTGATCGCGTGGCTTTCGAAAGGCAATAAACTGAATAACCGGACTCGAACTAAAAGAACCAAAACCAGGTAGGAGACAGAGAGAGAGAGAGAGAGAGAGAGAGAGAGAGAGAGAAAATGAAGACAAAGAAAGAGATGAAAGAAAGAAGAGTGAGATTCTGCGAAGCTAAAATTTTGTAACGCAAACTCGAAACTCGATTTAGATCAGAACAAAAACTTATCATTCCCTTGGAAACGAGATCTCTTTTATTTGATATAATTTCGAGCAAACTCCCAGTCGAAAGGAAGTTACTATGGTTACATTCACTTTCTTTCTTTCTTTCTTTCTTTCTTTTACTCTTCTTTCTCATCACCATCATCATATGAAAGAAGAAGAAGAAAGAAGAGAGAGAGAGAGAGAGAGAAAGGCAACAAGATCGCGTGCCACTTTCTTCCCTCATCTCTTTTATTTTTTTCTCTCTTTTCTCTTTCATCTTTAACTCTCTCACTCACTTTCTCGCCCCATCACATCCTTGTCCTCCCTCATCATCATCTAGCATCACCTTTTTTTCATCCAAACTTTAAAGCCCTAAGGGTAAAAAGGATTCATAATGATTTCAAAGTTATTTCTTTCAATCTAATAACTTTCTGTGTTGTTGTTGTTATTTTTTTTTCTTACTCAATGTTATCAACTTATTCATTCCCATGATACTGAAGTAGTAGTTTTTTTTTCATCATCATATTTTCATACAACAAAAACTCATTATCAATTTAGCAATAACCATATATATTCATGTAATGGGTTATTGTTTTTTATCATTTTTCACCTTACATGAAAATTTTAGTTTGCAAATTTAATCCAATTTCATGAATTTCATATATCTTATTTGCTCTGATAACTTTCATGCAGCCATGATGTTAAAAAGTAAATTATATCAACTGATTATGAGTTAATTTGGATAACATTGTTAAAAGAGTGAACCAAAAACTTAACAATTTAATGATAATTAGACAAATTATCAGATTAATGGTTAAGATGAGTGTTAATTGATAATTTAAGTTAAATTATCAACATTTATTCATCATCATTATCTTTATATTTCAGATTTTACCGTCTTTCGAGATTTTTGTTTCTCTCTTTCAATTGATGCAGAAACAGAATGAAAATTTTTCTCTTTCATCTTCATCATTCTATACTTATCTTCTCTTTCTTTTATTAGGATACCCCTCTTACTCTTACTCATCCTCATCATCATCATCATCATCTTTTTCTCATCTTCATCGATTTTAACCAGACTCTTTCATCTCATCTTTTTTTCATCTTCCCTTTTCACTCCTTATGATTAAATTTCTTCTTCTTTTCATGTAAACCTCTCTCTCTCTCTCTCTCTGCGTCTTTTTATCTTCCTCATCATCTTCTTTCGCTTCCCTTTATTCCATGTTCTTTTCGCCCCTTGATTGCCTCTTCTGCGTAAAGAAAAGTCTCAAAAAGAAGAGCTTCAAGGTAACAGTAAAAATTTCATCTTCTACTCCAAAATATATTAATACATTTTCTATTCCTCTTCCATATATAACTATAAATATATCGATGGACAACCTTGAGGACCACTTATATCCTCATTTTCATCTTCATCATAATCATCTTCTTTCTCATTCTCATCATTCTCTCTCACCTTCATCCGAATAACGGTAAAATGAAAAAAAAACTTTGAAGCACAAAAATAAACAAAATTAACAAGATAAAGTTTTCATCGTGTATCAATATATGAGAATAAACAAAAAGATTAGATAATCAAAAATCGTAATCTAATTTAATCAAAGGTTCTTAATACAATCGAATGATAATCAATCATATGATTGGGTTGACAGTTGATTTAATATATTGATTGTATTAATTACAGTCAATGATTATCAGCTAACCTTTAGAAAAGTGCAAGTCAAATACAAAAGGGAAATTAATTTTCTCTATTCAAAAGTTAATTGTTAACAATTTGATGGAAAAGGTAACTAACCAAACTTAAATCAAGTAAAATATTAGATTAATTCATAATTTTAATTATGTTAATTGTTGGGTTTAACTTAATAGTGTGAAAGATATTAACTTTCAATCAGTATATTCAAAGAGAGAGAGAGAGACTTTAATTACTAGTTATCACTTATTCATTTATTCATTTGATTTAAATTTGATTATCATTAGACAAAAAGAGTTAATAATTAACTACAGAAATTACTTATTACCCTTAATGAACAGTTAACATTTAATTGTATGCAATTGATAGTATTTCAAAATGAACCTTCATCTCATCTACATGATTCATTTAAATCATGTAATCAGAATCAGAATAGTCAAAAATATGTCACTGAACTTTTTTATTCATCTAAGAGGAGAAAAAACTGATTCAGTTTCCATGTAATTTTCCCCTGATTATTTATTTTCCCAACAATCATCCTCATCATCATCACTTAAAGTCATTATTATCTTCATCATTTACATGAATATAATTGTCAGTGGGTCTCCTCCCCTCTCTCTCTCTCTCTCTTATCATATTCAATTTAAATTGAATTTGTAATAATCTCTCATCATTTGATTTGAATTAAAATTGAAATGAAATTATGTTGATGAAGACAATTAGGCTGATCAAATATTGATTTACAATTAAGAGTTGAAATTAAACTTGATCATCAAATAATCATTGTTACAGTTGATCAACCTCAATCTCTTAAGTATGATGAGGATGCTAATGTTTATCATGATGTTCATGAAGATAATGATTCCAATAGTAAATGAACTCGAAGAAACTTTTAATACAATGAAGAATGAGACAATTGATGGTTTGTTAATTTACTGATTTTCGAATGATTATTTTTTCTTATTTTAATTTTTTTTCTCCATCATCATCAGTTTCTCTTCTTATTCTATAACTTAGTCGAATTATCATCGAATAAAGTTCATCATCATGTAATTCTCATTCAATTCTGAATCATGACTTAGGTTTACATTGGAAGTAAATAGAAGAAAACGAGAGAAAGAGAGAGAGATGAAAGGTAATGATGATGATCGAGTGGAAGTAAATACGTTCGATGAAAACATTTTTTCATCGAATGCGTATGTGTATTTGCCTTCGAACTAATTTACTATTGATCTGATGATTTTTCTTCTCTTCTACTTCATCATCTTGATTCATCATCATCATTGCTTATTCTTCATCCCTTCAGGTTCTAGTTCTGTAAAACAGCCTCAGGATTCATGATGAAGGGGGAAAATTATATATCATTGATGAGAATAGATAATAACCAGAATTGAGATTACATTCCTCAGAAATTTTCAAATCATTCTCGATACTTTTTCTCTCTCTCTCATCATGCTAACAATTAATTTCGCTCAAATAATCACAATGAACATTGTGACGATCTTTTGATTGTTGAAGATAAATTCCATCTCTTTATGAACAAGAGATTCTCCCAATTATTATGCTGACTAATTTATCGATTGATAATAATTTCATCTTAAAATGAACAAACATGAATTGTTAATGAGAAAAATTAATTATTCAAATTTATCATTTTAAATTTGTGCAAATTTCATTAAAATTATTGATTTTATCAAAATTATCAAAATTCTCTATCATAACTGTCCAAATGTTAAAAGTGATTAATTTTAATCTCTATTTGAAACCTTAATCTCTTTTCCTCATCTACATCATCATTAGTATCTTTCTCTGGTCACTTATTAGATGTCAAAATTGGTGCGAATATCAAATCACCATCAAAATGATGACAAAAAAATAGTCTTTTCGTTTTAAATTTAATTCTCTTTGTTAATCTGGACAGTTTAAACCGAATAGATAACTTTTTCTATGCAAAAAAAAACGAGTAACCTTGACGACAAATTATGATTCAAAAAACAGATAAAAACCGATATCGCACAAGAGAATGGGAGAAAGTGAGTGAGAAAGGAGAGAAAATAAGCCGAAACTAAACAATCTCAACACCGAAAGCACCAATTTTCTATTTGAAATGATTTGTTTTCTATCATCAGTTAAAGGACAAAGATCGAGTTCTAATGTATGTCCAAATATCGAGAATAAAAAATATCTCCCCTCAGAGAGAGAGAGAGAGAGAGAGAGAGAGAGAGAGAGAGAGAGAGAGATCGAAAGTTCCATTTAATGTCAGTTGGTATTAAAGCTCAGAATACGTGAACATAATGGATAAGAAAAGGGAGTTCGCCCTTTTTTACATGCGATACGGTCCAGTGAAGTGAATAAGGCCAACCTTTTACAACGGTAATCCTCATCTTCATCTTCTCCCTCATCTATCATCCTCTTTCTCTCTCTCTCTCTCCCTCTTAACAATAATCATGATGATAATAATAATAACGGTTCGAGAAGCGATCTAAGGTCTTTTTTCCCATCTGCTTATATTACATTTAATTTTCTACAATATTATCTTCATCATCATCTCATTTGTTTCCCCATTTCATCAGTTTCCATGGTAACATTGTATTTATAATCTGTGTAAGTGTGGGTTCGAACCCGACAACCCAAAAACTGGTAACTGATTATCGATACTTTTACTTTTTTATTATTAATTCGATACCAAGGTCAAGCTTGCGTAACTTTTATCACCTTTTACCTTGATAATTTTAACTCATCTTGTTGTTGTTTTTTTCCTGCTTGTGTTTATCATTTGTGCTCATCAACCACATTATAATCATTAATCAACTGTTAATTCAATGGTTCGTGAAATGATTAAGCTAAAATATTATAAACCGAAAGATAATCAACTTTGATAACAGTTAAAAAGCTCAATTAAAATGACAGAAAACATTTTCCTCTAGAAAATCATCAAAGTATCAACTCTCAACTGAGACAATTTAACATTTTAATTGTGTTTATATTTAGTTGATTGTTTATAAAGCTACAGATATTCACCCACATGAATATTAAATTAGATTGAAATTTATTATTATTATTATTATCATGAAATTTTGCATTCGATAAGTGGAATCATATTTTGAGAAATTAAAATTGATTAATAGGCCTTAATGGTTGATACTGTTGTGATTAAATCAATTTTTCTGGTTTAAGATGAATTACCATTTAAATTGAGAATCAACTAATTCACTGATTGTGTTAATATTTAACCAGAAAATGATACAAACTTTCAAGACTATTATAAGTTGTCATCTATTAGATTGATTTGTACAACACAATTTGCTAAACAACATTTCCAATTAAATCAGTTATTTTGATTGAAGTGTTAATCTTGTTTTCTTGATTAAAATGGTTATATCATCATTGAGATAATGAAGATACAAATGATTGGAAAGAGTGAAAGAGAGAGAGAGAGAGAGATACAATCATCCAAAAGGAAGAAGATTAAGAGATTGAATCAATAGGTAAATTTAAATCATTTCTATGGTATAACATTTGAAATAATCAGATGATAATGATGATGAAAAGGATGATGACGATAGAGAAGAAGTAGAAAAAATTACATGAAAGTGATTGATGAGATTGGGAACAATTTTATCAATGAAAACACATGATTAAGATCAATTCTCCATGTAAAGATTGGTGATTTAGTTTCATCTACTTTTTTGACCCAATGGAAAGAAGATGATACAGAAGAAAAAAGGAGAGATAATGATGATGATAACCATTGAGAAAATAAAGAAGAAGATGAAGTGAAAAAAGGAGAATAAGTTTTTTCTCTTATCTCTTATCATCATCATCATCGTCATGCTGACAGAATCAGAATGCCCCCTGAACTCATCAGAATCATAAAGAAAAAGGCAGAATACTAAACATAATATATAAGGAAAATCTTTGACTAAATTTGCTAGAAAATTCATCTTACTCGATTATCTTGACACCAAATGATTAACAGGCTGACAAAACTTAATAGTGAACATTCCTATTCCTATTCGGTTAATCAATTGGTTGCTTAATTTGATTACCATGATACTTTACCCTCTTCATCTTCATCTTCATCTTCCATCTCCTCCTCCTCCTCTTCTCTCTCACTCTCATCCTCTTGTCCTTCTGCTTCCTCATCCTCATCCTCATCTTCATCTTTTTCTCCATCACCATCTCTTTACGCTCCTTTTGTAGCTTATTCTCTCTCTCTCTTCGTCTTCTTCTTCTTCATCCCAATCTGATGTTCAATACTCTCCTCTCATGATACAAGTGATATAAGTCGGTGGTAAAGATGAAGATGAAGATTGGCTTCATAGTTTTTCATCAACCTCCATGGAAACTGATATAATGTTGGAGAAAACAAAATGTGACAGATATTTATTTCTTTCCCATAACAAAGCAACATAATTGGAGATTACAATTTAATACAAAAACAACTAAATCAATGTTCATCTTATTACGATTACCATGTTAATGGTTCATCCCTTTTTGTCTAAAGAACAAATTTATCTACATTATTATGTATCATTATCATTATCTTTGTATAATTGTCATCATTATTTAATATTATTTACCATTCATTTAGTCGTTTAATATTAATTATCCTCATTATTATTATTCAATTTGCATAATCATCAGTATCACCTACAATAATCTTCCATATCAACGTTGAAATCGCGACTCTTCTTTAATACAAGATAATCAATCGTTGAGAATTTATTGATTTGATTTCTTTTTCGTTTGTTTATCATTTTAATTGCTCACAATTAGAATTTATAAAAATTCTTGTTCGTTTTTCTTTTTTTATCTCAAAAGTAGTTGATCTTTTCTGAATTTGAGTTTCGCTTACTTTCAGTTGGCGCCAAAAAGTATCTGTCATCAATTTGTGGTGACTTTGGGTTGTGATTTCGTCCGAACGATCGAAAAATAAAAGGTATCGTTGCTGTCACCAGGATTCGAACCTGGGTTGTCGCGGCCACAACGCGAAGTACTAACCACTATACTATGACAGCTTCAGATATAAGCACCATCGCTTTACACTCTTATATAATCAAAGCCCGTTCACATCACATCCAAATCCCATTCACCAGCATCTTCATCATGTAATCAACCAACTATAACCTGTCATTATCATTGAAGATAAAAAAACAACATCAAGCCTTTTTTTTCATCATCATCATCATTCTTATCATCATGATTCAATCGATTCACGTTTACCAACCCTTTTCATTGTTATCTACAAACAATCAAAGTTTGTTGTTGACTTGGAAAGAAAGTTGATTCCAATTGATAATCCAACCCAAAAGGAATGAAATGAAAGGATTGAAACGGGAAATTCCGACTGAACTTTTATCTGAAGCTGTCATAGTATAGTGGTTAGTACTTCGCGTTGTGGCCGCGACAACCCAGGTTCGAATCCTGGTGACAGCAACGATACCTTTTATTTTTCGATCGTTCGGACGAAATCACAACCCAAAGTCACCACAAATTGATGACAGATACTTTTTGGCGCCAAACGAAAAAGTTAAAACCTTTTTTACTGTCTAATCTTGGATGTTTTCTATCAATTAGTGATCGTTTAGTGTGGGATATAACTGCATCGTTGGATATTTACGCGTTTTTGTCTACATAAGTCAAGCGAACTCAAAATACAACGAAAAACTAGATCTTTAACATACATCTTGTATTTGCTTATGCGTATGTAAACAAAAAGGAAGTGAGATTTCAAATAAAACTTGAGATAAAAACGATTACAAACCTAAAAATTGACCAAAGTCAAGATCGTTTTCTGATTGATTTCGATACAATAAAATTCGACAACAATACAATACATAGAATATATTATAAAAATCTATTGTTCGAATTGTGACCAACTAAAGGTAAATATCAGATAGAAAAAGAGTCATTGAGATCACTCAAAGTTTCAATAAAATTCAATTCAATGTCATGGAACACAAATTGTGAACCAAGTGGACTGATTAGAAACGGAAGTGAAAGTTAACAGAAATCAACTGAATCTTTTTCAAAATCTAATATCTAATAATCATTGATGTCGAATGTCCATTGAGAAAGTTCATGTCCATGTTCGTGTTCACCTTTGATTATCTATTGAAAAGCAAGAAAAAAGTTGAAAAGATGATCCAGTTTACTTTGAGTAATTGGCTCTAATAAGAGGATATTAAAACTTTTTTTTACTTCTTTCAACATCCAAAACAAGAGACAAAATAAACTTGGACTCAGGTAATCAGTTAATAAGCTTGGACCTTTCCAGTGAACTGTTTAGTTTATTTTCCTGATTTCCAGTTCGATATTGTTGTCTAACTGTTGTGGTAGATTCGAGGATTTGTAATGATTACACTTAATTCATTAAAAAAAAGATCTTGGAATTAAATCAAATCTACTCGAGTGTTAAATCAATGGTGAGGTAGAAAAAAAATCATCACTTGTAACTCTTATAATGCTCAACAATTTCATCTAACAATTGACCAGAATGAAATCAAAAGACTATGAGGATAACGATCCTTATGATTTTGATACTTTCGATATCGAAAGTTTAATAAAATGAGAGAAAAAAAATATAAAAGCCTAAGGAGATTAATAAAGCTCGAAATGATTTCTTCTTTTGATTGACTGGACATTCGAACTTATCAGGCTATTTTCAGTTCTCTTATCGTCCAATTGATTTTAAAAGTTCTCTTGATGAGAGTTAATTATCACCTTTCAGTCCGATTAAATAGTTGAAATCGAAATCGTAATTCAACTCGATTGATTTACAATATTTAGAACATGAATAGAAATAATCTCAATACTTTCATGTAAAATTCAATCCAAATTCAATAGGAATCAATGAGAACCAAAATTTGCAAGTTCAACTGATTTCAATTTCTGAATAGATAATTAATCAAAGAATTTTTCATGAGCTAATGAACAGAAAGAAATGGAATCAATCAATTTGATCTACATTATGGTGAGTGGAAAATTCAATTTTCATCTTTTTATTGTGTAGATAAAATTTATTTCCAATTCGTATTAATATCTCGAGTTAAGATTCGATAAAGAAGATGATATCTGAAAAGATTTTCTCTGTGATATTCCCAATGATACTTTCCTTCCTCATCATCTTCTTATCCTCTTTTCATCTTCCTTTTTTCCACATCCCCTTCATGCACTTGGCATCTTCTGTTATTATGCAGATACAACTCAAACTGAACATGTTGAACCAGAATTGGAATAATCTTGTCAATAAACTCGAGAGTGTTAAAACTCACACCGAATCAATTTGTCTTCAAACTCTTATTCTTATCCATGTCTTCACTTTCACATCTTCAAAATAATCTTCATCTTATAAATTGTCCATTCACAATAATCACCATGATCAATATAATGGAAAAGAAATTAACTAATTCCAAACTTACCTTAAAGTCGCAAATTCTAACGAAAACTCGTACAATCACAACAAAACTATCGAAAAGGATTTTCTCCTTTCGCAAAGATTATCATAATAACGATATATCGTTAGAGTGTTTCAGATCGAATTCGAATATTTCATTGAACAATAACTTCGAACAGGAAAATAAAGTCTAGACTTCGTTTCTCTTTGTTTCCTGTAACTTATCTTTCTTTTGAGCCCTTTGATCTCTCTCTCTCTCTCTCTCTCTCTCTCTCGATCATCATAAGATCATCAATTCTTCATCCGATTTTTTTCATTATCTTCTCATCTCCATCCCCACTGCTAACATACGCTTCATCTATTTTCTTCCATGTAATCAGATTCTTGTTGGAAGTTTTTTTTTCTCAATCTCTTGAAGAAATTTTTTTTCCATTTTTTATCTTTATCATGATAATCATCGTTTCTGAATCGATTATCATGAAAGTAGAGTAAAGAATCAGATAAAAAAAAACCTGATACCCAAAACACACACACATAAGATTAGATATCAACAATAGATTGCTGTTGATTAATATCAACATCGAGTTAATCAACTAAAGTAAGTTCACAATTAGAGTAAACTAATTAAATATCCAAGATTATTATTATTATTATTATAAGGGAAGAAGATTATAATTAAGAAACGAATTAAGATTTGTAAACATGATTAGTTTTTTATTACATCTTAATGATTCTCACAAAATGTGAATGTTGAAAAATGAGAATATTAAATTAATGAGAAAATAATATCATCATATTATTATCGTTTTTGCTCCCTTCGATAACTTTAATTGTCAATCAATTGTCAATCGGTTAAATTGTTATCCTTTCCTTTTCCTCGGTTTCAGTTGGTAATTTATTTATCCCGGAAACTAAAGGATAACAAACAAAAGTTTATGATAACATTAATATGATGATAATGATAACGATAAATAATATTATTAAATAGTTAAGCTAAAAGATGAACCATATTTAACTGATTATCTTCAATTGCGTGACAATAATTGTGAATATCAAGATAATCGGGAATAAGCAGAAAACAAGGAAACTTTTTGTCTTATCCGAACCATTGACTCTGAATTGAGGAAAAGGACAGAAAGGGAAAATATTATATAAGTATAACAATGATAATATTATCAAAAACCATGTTCCATGATGAAGATGATCATCTTTATCTTTATCTTTATCTTCATCATCAAACTCTGATCTTCATCATCTAATCACAATTTGATGGGAAAAAGAAGGTGAAATGATCATTGAGATGATGGGGCTTAAACTGTTAATCGAAATGATGATAATGATGTTGATTATCATCATTATCTTCATTCTCTTCCTCTTTTCTCACCTTCATCTCTGTGTCTCTTTCTGTCTTCTTCATCTTTGTCATCAGCATGAAAATGATTCACTTTGTTGGATGGCCGTTTTTGGATGAATTGGAAATAAGAAAAAAAAAGAGAAAAGATTTACCATTTGAAAAGGAAAAATATATAAGATGAAGATGGAGAAAATCTTCAGAATTGATGATTAATCGAAGGTAAAATAGAATAGAGAAGCAAAGAGAGAAAACTAAAGTAATGGTCATTTTCTTTTGGACGGTGAATTACCTTGATATCATCTTTATCCACATAATCTAAGAAAATCTCCTAAAAATGAAGGATTTTGTTCATTTCTTTTGATGACATGATTGTATAGTTTGTTTTTTTTTCATTCATTCTTATTGCCCGATCACCACCAAGGAGTAAAAAAAGATGACCAAAGATGATGAACTAACCTTTGCTAATATTACTCGGAAAATTTACTCTTTCACTACTCTTTCTTTTGCTTTCCGAATATCAGTCATGTCTCCTGGTTACATGATGTCATTATTTTATCATCTTTATCTCTCTCTCTCTCTCTTTTCTCTGTGTCCATTTCCATATATACCTTTAAAAGAGTTCAACTTTGAATTATTGTTGACCAATGGTCAACATCATCTTACTCAAACTATTTATCTCAGTTACTTATATCAGCACATTTGAAATAATCGGAGGTCAGACTGTCAAAAACTTTTCACCAGCATCATCATAATCATTATGATGATAATATATAAAAGCCTAGACTTATCTTCAAGTTGATTGATTAACATTACAATCAAAGAATGAGAATTGATTTAATCAAGTGAAAATTTTGTTCATAAAAAAAAGATGACAAGTTCAGAGGTTGACACTTCCTTTGACAAAGAGCAAGAGAGAGAGAGAGAGAGAGAGAGAGATATTTGAACCAATCGAGATCATTGATATTCACAATTAACAATGGAATTAACTAACTGTAAATCAATCCTGATTACTTATCAATTAAACAATCAAACAATCAAGGGAAAAAAGTTGTCATTCAAATCTGAATCTCATCATCAATCAAGATTATAATCTAATCAAAAGTTAAACCACAATTGAAAGGGATTTAATTAAATCACAATCATCATCATCATCATCATCATATTAGAAACTTGAACGAGTAAAAAACTCAAATACAATTTACCTGATTAGTGAACAATTTAATCTGAAACAAATATTTAATAGAAAACGATAAGTTCAACCAATTTAAATCTCTCACTAATCACAATCAATTTATTGTGATGAGAAAATCTTAATGATTACATTTTTTTTTGTTTCTCCAATAGATTTGCATATTAACCATGAACAAAAAATCAACTCGATTATCATTAATCATCAATTCTAATAACATTTTTGCCCCACATTAGTTTAAGTTAATAGTCTATCAGTATTAGAATAGGATTTTCCTTGTTCACGTTTCAGTTCAGAACTTATCACCACTCTGATCATCAGTAAACTATTAATATCGACTATTAAGTTAAGAACTTAATTTTGATTCGAATCTATTTAATATATTAATATATGATGATTTTCGAGATTGAAGAAAATAATAATTTACATTTTCTTTCATAAATTCTGTTCATATATTAATACATGAAGAATTTAATTCTTATTGACAATCATGTTTGCCTGATTACTTTTCAGTGGATTCATCGGATCTTCATGAAGGGGGGAACAAAACAAGTATCTCAACTTTTTTCGCTTCTTTTCACCGAAATTCATTCATGTTCAAATGTTTCTCCTCGCGAATCATTGAGTAAACTTTACTCTTTCAAAGAAATGTATTTACATCAACTACGAATATGCATCTGATTATGTTAATTAATCTATCCGATAGTTTGAAAGTTCTGGATCCACCATAGATTGGATTGAGTTGTTGTTCCATCGAATCGAATCGATTAAATTACTTTTTCTTATAGCTGATTGTTGATGGTTGTTACTTAATTGATCATTCTCAAGTGTTGTTGATGTTGGTGAGAGAGAAAGTCTTTGAATGCTGATACGATTCTCGAGTAAATAATGAACTTGGTCTAAGGTTCTAGGGTTGTTTTCAATTCAATTTGTCATGTTTTCTGGTTTCTAAATTGACAGTTGGATTAACAATGAACAATAATAATAAATGATTCCAAGAATAGATGAGAAACTGATGAAGGTAAGAGAGGAGAGAGAAAAAAATTAAATTCTAACCTAAACTATTCTCATCAATTGTCCTCAATGTAAAGATAAACAATGATTTTCCATCAGGCAATCAGGCCAAATTTCATCAAAAATCGGCTGCTGCCGACAGGGCTCGAACCTGGAGATACGAGTGCGTTAACACCCGCACTAGCCACTAGGACTAGGGCAGCAGCCGACAAGATAATCGCTATTAAATTTGTATTTAAATTGCATAACAATACACAATGAGTAATATGGTTACCATGACAATTACTATTCACTATTTATACGCGTTATTAGCATATTTCAAGTTGATTTATGTTCATGTGATAATTGGGCTAATCAATTAAACGTTGAGTTAATTTATTACAACACTTTGATTATCTTATCCTTTTGTTTTCATTTGATTACTTTAAGTTTTTACCTTTTTGATTAACTGAAACTTTTTTTGCTTCTTCTTATTGTTTATCAATATCCTTGACAATTAATCGTATCCTTGTTGTTGTTGTTGTTTAGATTTAACAGTTTTACTTTAAAGGATTAAGATAATCTTATGATGTGATGATTTATTACTATTCTCAGTAAAACTAAATCATTAATTAAAGTTGATTGAATGTCATGATGCATTTTGATTCTCATTCAACCAAGGCAAATGTTGAGCAAAATTGTCACGATTAAATATATATTATATTTGGTCCAAAGTCTAATAGGCTGATTGATGATTGTTTTTATGATAGAGATTCAATTCAACTTGATTACCTATCAAAGTCATTGATTAAATGATAAACAATCAGTCAATCAGAGTGTTACAATTTAATGTTCATTAATAGGTTTACATGGGAAAAACATGGAATCAAGAAATTCTTGAGCCTGAGTATTCAATTAGTTTAGAGTTTGAGCTAAATTGAAATTCGAAAGAAATTAATAAGCTTATTAGTCTTAAATAGGTAAAGAAATTAATCCTTTTAACCGTCTAAGTTTTTTGGAATTGGAAGTTTTTTAAAAATCAATGGACCTTTTTTGAGAATGAGCTGACACTTTCATCTAAACTTTGATCGAGTTAACATTCAATTTGTTTATTGTTTTCAGTTTTTTCATTATTTTGTTGATCATCATCATGTCTTCATCTGGTGTAAGAAGTATCAAAATCTCTGGATCCATGAAAAGAATCATCATGGACTCTTACAATGAGGGGAAAAAAGTTCGATCCATTGCCGATTCTTTGCAAGTTAATCTATCAACAGTGAGAAGTTTCATCAATCGTTACAAAAAGTACGGCAATAGACCACGAGGTCGTCGTCCACCGAAACTGAATGACCAACAGAAACAAGAAATGAAATCTTGGGTTGACGATAATTGCCTGTTAACCCTTGACGTTTTATCCAATAAAGTTTTAGATAAATTTGGTGTTCAAGTTTCACATTCAACTATCTTCAACTACCTGGATTCGTTTCATTATTCGTACAACAGATTAGCACCAACACCCGCTTATAGAAATTGCCAATCCATCTTAGATCAACGAGCTGAATACGCGAAAAAGTTCATCGGAATCAATCAAAGTTCAGTTGTTTTCATTGGAAGAGTTGATGTTAGTCTACATTGTAGATACACTTGCAAAAAGGATAAAATTGATAAGATGGGCGAACGATCAATTCGAGGGAAAAATTATTCAATATGTGCAGCGATATCTGAAAAAGCACTGGAATTTTACCATGTTCAAAATATACTTCACGAGAGAGAACAAGCCATCGATTACCCTGAGCAGCTAATTAATCATCTACCGAGTGATCGTAAACACACTCTCATCATGGACAAAGCTCATTTCCCCGATTCCCTCGAAGCTGAGAGAGCTGCCACAGCGAAAGGTCATGAGATAATCTACCTTCCCACCCATTCACCTTTTCTCAATCCCATTGAGAACATGTTTGATCAACTTAAATTTCATATTAAAAAGTTATCACCAACTAATGCTGATCAGGTTTTCGATGGATTGGAACATGTTTCTCAATGTATCTCTCAAGAAGATTGTCTCAATTATTGGCAAAACATGATGTCTTACATGGAGAAAAGTCTACTTGGTCATCCGATAGAAAAGCAGCCCAAAGGTGATCAACTCATTTGTAAATCATGACAAGGAAAGAAAACACAATCCAAATTCATCTTTAAACTAGATTAGTATTAATCCTTTTTTCGCTAAGTAAAGATTAACCATCTTATATATATATAAGTTATATTCTTGACAAAAAAAAAGTTCTTTCCCAAAAACAACTCCAATTCAAAGACTATCGATAAAATTTAATATCTCGATTCAGAAATTTCGTAAAAGAAAACCTGATTATCTATTCTGTACAATGTCACCCACCCTGTCACTTATCTGAACCATGAAAAATGTCACTTTAAATTCACATAAATTTATTAATAATAAAAATTGGAGAAAATTTTCTTCTCATTCATCATCATGATTCCATTTCTCACCTAAAGAGAAGGCGAAACAATTTGAAATTATTTTATAACTCGAAAGTTATTATAATAATATCATTATTATTATTATTATCAATGAATAAACTACTACAAGATTAAGAAGTGGAATAAAAAAGAAAAGGTTTCTAATAACAATAATTGTCAATAATGATAAGGGTTGAAGCAAATCGACACTTAAAGTGTACAATCAACTCTCATGAAATTCCCCATGAAAAATGTTTCAATGTTCATATAACCATTATTGGAAAATTTTCACTCTCAAGCTAACAATTTATCTTAAATATCAAATATATAAACTTAATGTTCAACCAATTGATTAGAGTTTAATCCTCTTTTACCAAAGACATTGAGGTATAAAAGGAAAAGTCATCCCACTTTCTCTCAATCATCATCATCATCATCATCTTTATCTTCATCTTCTCCTTCCTTATTTTAGCTTTGTTAATAATATAATACCTTTTTCCTCATCTCGTTCAATATCATATCATTGATCATCTGATTGATGGTCTTACATCAAAAAGTTAAAATATACCAAACATATTACATGTAGTTTGTAAAAGGTTATTAGTTTTATTTTATTTTTCCATGAGAAAAAAAAACAAACTCTTAGCTGAAGCTCAATCAGCCATTGAATCAGAACTCGATTCTCCCTGAATCTGAGTAACCATTTCTACCTTCTCTCTCTCTTTCACTTTCACTTGCACTCTTACCCGAT